AGAAAGTGTTAATGTTGGCTTAGGGAAGGGGTAGGTGGGCAGTTTCCCAGAAACGTATCCAAAATATCGAACTTCAGAGAAGAGCTTACCAGTCGAACCTGGAAAGGCTACCCGTATTTTACCCCCACCCCCCATGGTTGTTTGCCCCTGTCAGCCGATCTCTGAGCAAACAGCTTCGGCAGAGAATCCCTGGGAACGAGGTTAACTAATAAGTGCAAGTGAGTGCAAAGTCAAAGGTGCGGAGAAGAGTTTATTTCAGAAAAACAACAGGAACAAGAGACAATTCAGAAGCTTTCCTCATCAGATCAGCAGTCTTGTCTGTGCCCAAACCTTGGCTTGGAAATGTAAAATCTGGAGACTCTGCATGTCTTTTGCACTACCCAGCTCCCCGAATATCAACAACCCATACCCCCCGCCTCCCCAACTCCGACCACCTTATAAGCACAATTTTATCCAGTCGCCAATTTATCACACAATAAATGGTTAGGACGTTATGTAAATTCTTACATGAGGTACAGACCATCACAATTTGCTTTTATCATTGTGAAGTGACATAATCTTTGTCAGTGATGATGTACGTGCAAAAATACCCCAGTAACTGAACTATGAATCAACGAAAATTCAAATTTTGGGAGAAAATGGGATAAATTCCAAATTAAAGCACAGAAAAGCTCATAACTCGATTTTACAAGGGAGATTTGGTGACCTGTACGGGAGACTGGGAGATCGGTGTTGTACTGGGAGAGTTGGCAAGTATGCAACTGATTGCGGTCCTTTCAGGTCCTTTGTTTCTTAGCTGATCTGCCAGCAATAATCTTATCATGTCAGTATTCTCTTGTGAGTATGGTCACACACTATTACAGGCTTACCGGACCCCCAGAGCTGGGAAAAGTATTGATAACTGGAAAAAAGTCATTAGATTCCTCAAATTTCCTAGTGGAAAGACTTACAGCAGGGAAGTCCTGTAAACTACAGCACTTAGTAATAACAATGATGAAACCCCGAGACACTGAACATTCCAGAAAATTCAGGAGACATCCTGGAACAAAGAACAAAAAATAACTTTATAAAAAATATTCAATAAATGTAAAGATAAAAATAAAATAATAATAATAATTATGGTAAGTTTTGTAAAAGTTGATGATAAGAAAATAAAAAAAAAAACGAATATATTATATTTACACAAAAAATAAATAAGTAAAGAAAAAGAAACTGGATTATCATCTCCGAGTATGAGAAAACAACATTTTGTTGGGCAAGTGAGGGTACATGCGAATGACTAGTACTGAGAGAAGGCTTGCCTCTAAATTCAAAACATATTAAAATGGGTGATTAGAAGAGGGGTCTTCAAGCTTTCCTCACACAGCCACCTCTTGTAATTGTATGGTATGCAGTTTAATCATTTGACAGTCTGAAATGTCGGCAAGTACCTAATGTCAAGCCTTGACATATAGTCTCCCTATATGTATAACCGATAAGGCACTAAGGCTCTACAAAGAAGGTGTTAGGGGCTCCTGTGTTTGGATTTTAGTGGACAAGGTTAAATGCCAAATCAACATAATTTACTCAAGAAAGTCTAGTCATGCTAGACATTAACATTTCGAAAATGAAATCTTTCCACTAAAATTCAACAACGTTCTCACAAAATTCAAAGCAACAAACATATTTTAACAAAGCATTTGGATTAGCAGATAGGTACATTGCATTATTGTTTATCCCTCAAATAACTTTGGGTTATTACTTGGTGTTACGGTGCACGAATTTATGCTAATTAGTATATCCCAATGTCTATGTCATATAATGAAAGTATCACGGGGCCATGGGTTATAGGTTTCGTGGTGTCAATTGTTTCATAGTTTCATGTGTTTCATGGTTTTATAGGTTTCGTGCTTTCACCAGGTTTGTCATCAGAGGCAGGATCAGTGTTTTCGGTATCCCTAATTATAGGGACTGACCCATATCACTAGTGATTTAGGTACAGGGATAACCAAAACATGACTGGGTACTCTATATCACTTTGACTGCGGCAATTGCCATCTTCAACTGGGCGGAAGAAAATAGGGGACTGAGAAGAAGCCTGATTTTCAGCCATCTCCTTGCAGGAGACGGCTGAAATTCAGGCTAACTATTAACAGTATAGAAACCACCACTGTGTCATCACTACCACTGAAACTATCCATTCACTGTGAATATGAATCTTGCTGAGGAGCCAAAGCCAGGAGCACCTAAGCTCTTGTTAGGGTTGCAAAGTCATAATTGTAAATGGATAACCATCGAATGATTGAGAACCGCTTGGCAAACAATAACAAGAGGTGGCTGAGTGAGGAAAACTTGAAGACCTGCTCCTCGCGACTCATTTTAATACATTATAATTTTTGAGGCAAGCCTTCACTCGTTATTGCCATAATTTTTTGCATGTACCCTCACTCGCCCAACAAATTAATTGCAACAAAATATTGTTTTCTTATAGTCAGAGATGATACCAGTTTCGTCTTTTTATAAATTATTCTTCGTTTTATGTTCTGTTGTGTTACATTATTTAATTTATTTTGCTGTTATTATTTTTTACAAGAACTATTTTATTATTATATAATTATTTTATTTATCAATAATTTTTTTATAAAATTTTTTTAATTTTTTATGTTCTGGAATGATCTGTTTTTGGGTTTATATCAATGCCTGATAAAGATAAGGTGGAAGAATGTAAACAATGCACCAGGTTTATAATTCATACCTTTGCTACATGTGACCAGTAGGCATTTTCCTTAGACTGAGTTTGCTATCTTTAACTTGAAATGAACCCTAGAGATGGTCCAAATTTTTTTTGAGTGTGACTTTTGAGAAAGCGTGAAAAGTAATGCATGTAGGTTGTCATCTCGTGAGACAGTTAGATAGGTTGTAAAATGGTGAGACTCATGCTCAAGTTGTAGGACTCTATCAGTAATGTCAAGGCCAGGGTTCGAGCTACCCACCTTTTTTGGGGGGCGACTGATCCCATGTTTACTTAAATTTTGATACTTCGATTGCAAAATCGTTAAAACTCTAAGTTGTAATTCCTGATCCTTTTAAAATTATTCCTATATGTATCTCCTGAATCAACTCAAACAAAATTTGAGTAGGATGAATCACATGCTGACAATGATTTCATGGAATTTGTTTACTCCCGGTTGCATGACGGTTTCAACATTTTATGCAAAAACATCGAAAATGAACTGCGCGTTTACCTCTCTTAGCGGGTTCCTTTTTAATTGCCCAAGCTTGATTTTTTATAATGCTGTACTTTTCTGAGGTATAATATTGTTTTTTCTTCAAAATTTGCAAATTTTCATTATTTATGAAAGTGCTAAAGATGGGAATCTTCGGGCTTTTTTTTAGCCGAGTACAAAATGCATTATCTTGCAATATTTTGAACCAAATAGTATTGTAACTGGCCGGGATGCCTATTGTTATCTGCCAAAGATGAACTTGTCTCTTTGAACCACTTTTTTTCCCATGGGCTTTGAAAGCTCTTTGGAAACTTTGATTGTGATTTTCCAAAATGTCTCAATAAAGGGTTTTTTCAAACTGTTTATGAAGAATTTTGAAATTTCAGTTTTGACGGGAATTCTCGATCACAGACAGTCGCTCTTAATCAATTCATACCCAGCAATTTACAACTGATTACAAAATATAAACCAATGTAATAAAGGAGTAGTCAGGCTGCCCATAGTAACCATAGGAGGCTAAAAGGATAGGGCGGCCAATACTTAGGTGATCATATTGATAACACTATATGATTGTTAGAGACCGCTATCATGCATGCCAATACAGCTGCACACCTACAGAAAACACAAAATAAAAAAATTAAAGGAAAGACAGCAAAATGAATAAAACAAAAGAAAGCTAAAGATGCATACCAGTTAGTAATAACTAACAGTCTAAGCCACATTAATTTGTTTTGTTCGTAAAATCTGCAATACCTAGAATGTTTTTTCCATTTTAAACATTGGCGTTAGCTTTGTCTTAAAACATTTTAGATGGAGCACTGAAGCATACACCAAGTTAAAATATTTGTGCATTCTGCTGTTAAATTGACATGGTCAATCGCGTACTCTGTTCTATTTGAATAATCAGTTATATGACTTTCGTAAACCAAGTTCTCTGGTATTCATATCAGTTTAGTGATCGATTGCCAGAAGTTGATTGTTAACATTAATTGTCACCTTGTTTCCCATGACAACCTGCTTGCGTTAATTTTGCACATTTTTTGGACTGATGTTAGACTTGCTACAAGTCGACCTTTTGGGAGTGGAGCAGCCTTTTTGGGCCGCGAGCGACGAAGTCGCGAAATCTGACGAAGGACTTTTTTGAAAGTCTAGGCTGATGTATGTATGTATCTTTGTATGTATCAACTTTATTTAAAGAGGATAACGCAAAACAGTAAACTAACAAACCTGCGGCCCTCATTATAAGAAGTTGGTAATCACAATTAAAAATATACAAAGAATAATTCGAAAAATTACAATTAAAAATACAACAGTAAAAAGTGCAATTAAAAGTTGTGAATAGGAAGTTATCAAACAATAAAAATACAACAAAGAAAATTAAGAAGAAGCATAAAAGTCAATTATGGCCTTTTTAAAACTATGTACACATTCAATCTTCTTTAAAGAATTTGGCACTACATTCCACAATCTTGTTGCCCTCACACCAAATTTACGCCCCCTTTGATTTCCCCTTAAAGCGAGGGCAGACTAAGTTTAAGGAGTTTCTGTTATTTCGTTCATTCAGAATATCCGAATTCAACACGAAGGGCCTGTTTACATGGAGTGGGGGACTCCGGTCCAGTGGGGTTGGTTTCTTTTGTTTTCACGCTCTGGGGGACACAAAACAAAAGAAACCTACCCCACTAGACCGGGGTCCCCCACTCCATGTAAACAGGGTCTAAGAGATCACTCATAACCTGGGCTACGCACATTAATACGTTTGTGAACCTGAACACAGATGTTCACCTTCACCTCAAGGTGAAGGGGAAGCCAATCCAATCTCGTAAACAGTTCATCACTGTTTGCTTGCGTGTTGGCGTCAAGGATAATGCGTGCACAGCTTCGCCTCTGGAGACGAAAAACTCTCTGCAAATTCCCAATGGAGCACACGGACCTTACATTGGAGACATACAGCATTGTTTGCTTTATCATGGCATTGTAAAACGCTTTCCTCTGTTCCAAAGGAAGAACTAATCACTTAATCTTACTCAGCACGGCAATTCGTTGACAGAACTTATTACAGAGTTTGTCATTATGGTCATCAAAAGAGAGTTTCTGATCAATTGTGACACTTAAAAGATTTTGTGAGCTCACTTGTTTAAGTTCGGTGGTATTTATAATATTTAACTTGCAACTGCTGGTTATTCATTCTTTTCTCGATCCATTTACCGGTAGCGAGCATCGCTTTGGTCTTCGTTTCATGGAGAATCATTGTTGTCAACATGAAATAATGCTGGCCTAGCTTACCCTGGACAGGTAGTTTGAGTAATCAGTGTAATACACGAACATGTCATGCAATACTGTGTTTTGAAAATTAACAACAATAGCAACAAATTTCTTTTCTTTTCTTATTTTACTACAAAATTCACCGATATGGTTTTTAGAAACATTGACTGGTAATAATGTTTAATTTGCTAACTACGCATTTTTTTTTATCATTTTAGTTATATAATAAAAAAGACAAGTCTGCTTTAATAATCTTAAACATGGAGGATTGTTACAGTGCTGTATTGCAAGCTAAAAGGCTTTAACATTTTGGAACTGTGCATCTGAAGGGAATAGGACTATCCAGGGTACCTGATGCAGTCGTTGAACTGAGTGAATTGCAGGAACTTAGGCTTGATGAGAATAATCTGACTGAGGTGCCAACAAGTCTTAACAAGCTGAACATGCTTCGATCGCTGCACTTGGATGGAAACAATCTTACTGAATTACCTGCTGAGATTGGTGACCTAAAGGAGCTGAGAGAGCTGAGCGTGAGGTACAACCAGTTGGTTGGTTTACCTACCAGTATTCAAAAGCTGAACAGGCTTGAAAACCTGACCTTGGATGGAAACAATCTTACTGAATTACCTGCTGAGATTGGTGACCTAAAGAAGCTGGTGAGGCTGAGTGTGAGTAACAACCAGTTGGTTGGTTTACCTACCAGTATTCAAAAGCTGAACGGGCTTAAAAGGCTGTACTTGGATAAAAACAATCTTACTGAATTACCTGCTGAGATTGGTGACCTAAAGGAGCTGAGAGAGCTGAGTGTGAGGAACAACCAGTTGGTTGGTTTACCTACCAGTATTCAAAAGCTGAACAGGCTTGAAAACCTGACCTTGGATGGAAACAATCTTACTGAATTACCTGCTGAGATTGGTGACCTAAAGGAGCTGAGAGAGCTGAGTGTGAGTAACAACCAGTTGGTTGGTTTACCTACCAGTATTCAAAAGCTGAACAGGCTTGAAAACCTGACCTTGGATGGAAACAATCTTACTGAATTACCTGCTGAGATTGGTGACCTAAAGGAGCTGTGGGAGCTGAGTGTGAGTAACAACCAGTTGGTTGGTTTACCTACCAGTATTCAAAAGCTGAACAGGCTTAAAAGGCTGACCTTGGATGGAAACAATCTTACTGAATTACCTGCTTAGATTGGTGACCTAAAGGAGCTGTGGGAGCTGCGTGTGAGTAACAACCAGTTGGTTGGTTTACCTACCAGTATTCAAAAGCTGAGCAGGCTTCTATATCTGTACTTGGATGGAAACAATCTTACTGAATTACCTGCTGGGATTGGTGACCTAAAGGAGCTGCTGCGGCTGTGTGTGTGTGGTAACCCTTTAACTGTTGATGCTATAAAGTTTGCTCTAAAGTTGGAGAAAAGACGACTGTACACTGATATTGCAGGTGAGGACAAATAAAGGCTAAGTTAAATTGAACCCTTATTACAGTAATAACAAATGAACTGCTAAAAATCTTCGTGACAAACATAAATCCAGATTGTAACATCTAAATAACGACAGGAGACCCAAGGAACCACAGGAAACCCAACGCGGGGTGTGTGCTGCTCGACTTAGGGCTCGCAGCAATTGTAGCGATCACAGACAGTACACGCGTCGTCCAGTTTAGTTAGATGTAGTATGGAGTTTCAACTCAAACAAGTATTTTCCCTATGGAAAAAGACCACAGAATCTTTTTTTGTTTTTTGAAAACTTTACTTTGACCACAAGAAGTGATATTTTATTTTATCTATTTAATCTTGAAAAATGTTTGATTCACGCGGCATTTTGACTGACTGCTGTGATCTAAGATCGAAAACAAGGAATATCAGTAAGTTCGCACCCTTGTGAATTAGGCCCATACAAGTTCGCCCCCTACTTTCTGAGTTCAACACGCATTGGTATACTCCAAATTCAAGTTAAATCACCCACTTACAGCAGACATTTATTTCAATCATACCTGTGAATTGGATTGGGTTATTGGACAGAAGGTAATGGTAGGTCGATGGCAATTGGTGTCTCGAAATCTAGGACCTAAAAGACCTTGAAAAAAACCTCTATGAAAACAGAATCTCCTTACAAGTTGCTTAATCAAAGAGTAAAGTAAAATACCAGTAGAGTCAAACTCACTGGCTTGAAAAAACATGTTAAGTGGCACGGGACAAGGAATAATTATTGAGTCGCCGTCATGACATGAATGAAAATTCAATGAAACATTTACAACTGCAAGTTGCCGCCAAGTTGAGATTGATTTGTTGAAAGCTAACGAATATATAACTTCGCAAAGTCGCTAAATTTTACAGACGTAAAACACTTTGTCTCACTAACTGTTGGTTTCCTTTAATTTCCTTCAATTTTGAAATTTCGATCTTGAATAAAGTAGTTTGCCAGGTCTGATAGTTCTGTGATTTTCATGAAAAGGCCCTTTGAGAGAATTCACCTTTCACCGTAACGAAGAAACAATCAATTTAATTCCTGCTGACAAAAATAAACGTACGCCTGCAGTCAATTGAAAGCTAGTAACTTTCATACGTACACTATTCTATAATTTTATTTATTTCTACATTTTTTGCATATACGTACCTTTTTTGTAATTAATTTTAAAGTGCCTATGTAATTAAAGTAATTTGTTTTATTTTTAATATTTTATAAGTTATTTGTTTTTATCGTGCATTTTATTATATGTAATCTACATAGAAACATTGATGTACACTAAAATATTGACTTTCAGATAAGTTGCAGGTACCCACAATAGCTACAAAAGGGTGCCATTTCACATTGGCGCCTGTGATGTAGATCGTCGGACGGTGCGACGGGTAGACGTACCATCACGTGACTACCAAGTAATTTTCTGTATGTAGCAGCTCTCCTAACCCTAAAAGCCAATTGGTTCGATACCCTAACTGTGAAATAATGGGAAATAATGATAAACAATGATGTGGTTTTGTTTTCGGCGACCAATGAGGAAACACCTCACGAACAACTCCTACATTTACCCACTGTTAATAGTTTTAATATTGAAAATCAGACAATTAAGAAGAAAAAAGCAAGCATTAAAAATCTTGAGACAAAAGTATTTGTTCTCATTGAAAACTAAAACATTCAAACCAAAAGATAACTGGCAGTTAATAATAAATTTTTTTGAAAACCTCGAATCAAAATTAAACTGCACAAAGTTAGCTGCTTTATGCTGCTTATACTAAAGGCGACAAATTACATATAAATAAAACAAGAAAAAGCGAAGCAGCATTTGTTAATGCCCATCCATATAAATCATATGTTTAATGTAAATGAAATCATGCAAATTGATAAAACAAAACGTAAACTACATAAATTTGGAAGAAGGAGAAATCTAACACCAGAAAGCTCAGAAAAAATTCCGATCTCCAGCCTAGAATCGAACTCACGACCCTTCGAAGGTAACGATAACAGTTAAAAAGTAACTTTCAATTCACTTACCTTCTATGGTAAGATTTCTTTAATTATGTTCTTGATTGTTAGCATTAATCTGAGTAGCAGCTGCTAGTAGTCGGTAAACACTGAATCATTTTAACAACATTACTGTGGGTAAAAAGACCATCAAGACTAAACTAGTATATTGCAGTGCGGACACTCAAACCGGGACACTTGGAAGAAAATTGTCCAATCACAACGTTTTCTCAAAATAAAAGATTCTCAAGTGTTTTTGCAGACAGACCAATAAAATTCAAGTATTCAACTATGCAACCGTTGAAATTTTTAAAACCGTTTGAACTTACCTGAACTCTTAGGAAACAGCCCTCAGATTGATGGATGTTGTTGCACGGCCCGTTTGCAAAAAAAATCGAGAATCTTGTTTTCAGAAAACGTTGTGATTGGACAATCTTCTTCCAAGTGTCCCGGTTTGAGTGTCGGCACTGTAAGTTTGAACAAAGCATACAGATTTGCAGTTGTATTTGCCCATGAAGGGATTAGTGAGTTGTGCAGGTTACCGGTTGGTTCTAATAGACAAAGACTGACGTGACATTAAAACAACACGTTTACGAGGGTCATGTCTGACACATGATTTTGAAATTTTGTATTCGTTGTAGCTCCCAAAGAAATAGAAGCGCGAGGAGAAAGAGCGCAGCTTTGTTATCAACGTGCTCTTAGAGATGGAGCTGTTAGTGTTCAGCGTTCTCGGATATTGCTTATTGGTCAGGACAGGGCAGGAAAAACAAGCTTGAAAAAATCTCTGATTGGTCTGCCATTTAATCGTAACGAAAATAGTACTGAAGGAATTGAAGTGGATCAGTCAATCTTTCAAGTGCATACCGACGAAGTTAAGAACTGGAAACCCATTGATAAGACTGAACGAGGGTTGTTGGGTTGTTCTAACGAGGCCGTGGCACAGATGGTGGCTGGAAAGCTTTGTTTTAAGAAGGAGAAAGAAGATCCACAAATACACGACAGTGACCAGCTTAAAAATGAAAATTACAGGACTGGGACAAAGGCGGATGATGTTGATGGTGAAAAGAGAGACGATTCATTTGTGATCCAGGTTTGTTTCCAGTTAAATCTTGGCTTTTGTATTGTACTTTAATGAAGTATTGCTTATAGCAGAAATAGGTGGCCCGCTTACCCTCACGAAACTGGGTTTAAAATAGCACCACTCAAATAAGCGCCCGGGGCGTGTATTTAATTTTAGGAGTCCAAGCGGGGGCGTAGAAAGGCTCCTGGGCCGGGTTGTTCAATGCTGGGTTAAGATAACCCGGGGTTAGTGCAAAATTTGAATTAAAATATATGAAAGCTTATAAAGTAAATTCAGTTCAATTCTTTTTGTCAACAAGTTGATGATTCGATGCTCCATGAATATCAGAGAAAATTGTCCGAGAAAATGCTTTTAAGCAAAAGAAAAAGAAACCGGGGTCAAATTTGACCCTGGGTTAAGCGCTAATCGGCCTTTGAACATCTGGGCCCAGGCTTTTAAAAGAAAGACGCGTTTATTTTCATAACTGTAACAAGCTCAACAAAAGTTATATGCTTTCGGCAAAAATATCAAGAGAGTTTAAAAACAGCCGAATAAGACGTCTAGAGATCGTTATCGCTCAAATCCCAACATCGATGTCAGAATCCTCGCTCAGGGTTGAACTTGACACTGAACAAGATGAAATACACAAAGCCTTGTTTATTATAAAAGCAAGAATCTGAATGGATTGAATGATTTTGATCCCTTTTTCTTAATCGTAGTATTTTGAAGTATTTCTCATAGGGGTGGGGGGGGGTCTATTAGACAAGGGGCGTTTATTAGGGAGGAGCATCTAAATCAATTTTATCAGCGTAGAGGGGGCGTTTATTATATAAGAAGCGTTTATTTGGAAGTGGGCATCTATGAGGTCATTTACGGTAGCCAACTTGTCTCTGCAATAAATTCTAGCTAATTCTGCCTCGCTGTGCGGTCCACGCGCGATGCGAATGTGGAAAAAAAAAATTAACCTTCGCGAGGAAGGAGTCATGATATTAAATAACAAGAAAATGTTATTGTTACTCAAAGTCAACGTTTAAAAATTATACTAGTACAAGAGCCGATTACTGCCTAGTAGTAATCTCAGATTAAGAAGTGCGTTCGAGCTTTTGTAGGTTTACTGTCAAATGTAACGTTATTTCCTAATAAATTGATGCTGCAAAACGCTGGTTTTTTAAAAAAGAAACAAAACAAAAGAAAACGACTACGAAAAAAAGGATAAAAAGTCTCACACGACTAGAGTCGAGCCCGAGACCTTCGACGTAAGGGCATCGCATTATCCATTGCGCCACGCAACCAAATGTCAAATTAACTGTATTTAACATTTTTGTGCCCACGAGATAAACTATTCAAGATGGCGCAGAAAATGCAGGCGTACGACGAAATGAGTAACCACAAAAGGTCACCCTTGAGTAGCACAGGATCCCCAACTGGGTACCACAGTGATCCCGAGATTATGCTTTGCGTTCTCCTAACGTCGAACGCAATTGTTTGCAACATTTATTTAAGGTCCCTTTAGATTCTAGTTCCAGAACAGTAACAAATCGCGAGTCAGTTCTAAAGGAGAGTCCGAGTACAAACACGAACAAATTCACATGATTTAAACTCGTATTAATTGTTACGACGTAATGCAACTCTAAATGTCAACATCCCGTTAACACAAATCGGAATTTATTTGAAACCCCATATTTATTATGTCATTGTTTTTTTTTACACGAATGGAGTTTCCGTTCACATGAAAATATGAAATCAATAAATCCGTTCACCGAAACCGCATCTTTTTGAAACTGCTTTCCCCAATGTTTGTTTGCAGTGCATCATGGGAATAGCTTAGTTTATAACTTTACCGAGGTTTCTATCGAACAAACAATGACGCAAAACATTTTTTATATATATTTTGTATGCATATTTTTGTCCTCACCAAGCAACAAACCGGTTTGTTTTAAATAAATGTGTGTAGGTTTGAATCTGTTTGGTTGATGCCCATCTACCCAGTGATAATGTCTTGATGTTTGAGCTGATCCATCCGTTTTTTGGAATGATAATATCGAATGAATACTTTTAAGTCTTATCATGTTTCGTTAAAATTCCTTTTCCTGTTATAGGTCCCTGATCCAAAAATAGATAGTGTCAGTGGACTGCCATCATCAGAGCCTGGACATGAGTTAATGATTGATACTACTTCACCCCAGACGAGATCACAAAACACACTGAGGAGTGGATAAAGTATTTAAAAGGTGAAGGTGAGGGTGTTACCGAAAAATCTGTTAGCAGCTTTGAACTGTGGGATTTTGCTGGACAACAGCTGTACTATGCATCTCATCCTGTATTTTTAACATCACGTGCAATATATATCTTGGTATGCAACCTCAGCAAGTCATTGCACGACACTGCTCAACCATGTGTGAGACAAGGAAAACATAATTTCACATTGGACAACCCAAATAAGGAAACAAACTTGGAGAATCTGCTATCTTGGCTGTCCACAGTGCATAGCATCACACAGATGAGAAGACAAACTCGTGACGATGCAGAAGGAAAGCTGCTTTATCTGCGTCCCCCTGTGATCATTGTAGGCACCCATGCAGACAAACCGTTTGAAGACATTGCAATAATGAAGAGAAAAATACAGAAGGCAATCGCTGGTAAGGACTATGAAGGACATGTAGTGCGGCCTATCTTCTCCATTGACAACACTGCAAAATTAATTCAGAGAAGGTTGGAAAAGGTTTTCAGAAAAGATAAAAACATCGATGGCATCCAAGAGCTAAGAGACAAAATCATGGAAGTGTTAAAGCGGGAGCCATACATGAAGGAAAGGATACCTGCGAGGTAAATAACGTGAATAATAGAACACAGATGTCTTTTTGCCGAGAATTTTCATGTTAATTAAGTGTTCAGTTGAGGTTTGGCAGCATTAAAACTACAGTGGACATATGTACATATACACTGTGGGCCTCAACTTTGTCCAGTCCATATAGCATTTTGCTTGCGTATCCAAAGAGGTTTATGTTTTACCAGTAAATAGTTGGCTACGTAGGGATGTAAAATCCTTGTATAAGATACCTAGAGGCTGCCGGCACATCGTAATTCCTTCACTTAGGTTGAAGGGCAGTCTAAAGACTTTGTCAGTAATAGGAAAAAATAAACACGTAAGACAAGCGAAAGAATCGCAGTAAGATTACGTGCGTCTCTCAAAAACGTCTCTCCTTAAGCTTTTTAATTGATATGTAGGCCTTCTCTTTATTCTAATGCACTGGTTTACCCAAGAACAAAGGCAAATAAAATTTAAAACAAGGATAATTATGGACCATAGAGTTTTTCCGGAACATTTAATAGGGTCTATTTAATAGAGTTGTTTTTCTGGAATACCGTAAAAGTGGGCAAAGTGATCGGGGTAATAAGCACCCTTTGACGCTCAATACTTTTTTGGGGGGCTGGGGGAGAGTCGGGGGGGGGGAAGGGGGGTGGGGGTCTTTACTATGGTGGAGCCATAAACGTGATATGAAAACATTTTAGGTCATTTTATTTCCAACCGAAAGGAGGGAAAGTCGCTAAAAAAATAACAAAAATCGTCAAGTTTCTCCTTGCTGTTATATGGGGGAGTTCTTTTATAAAACGTGGTGTCAGTTATTTTCCGCGGTTCCGTTTTGATCCCTTTTAACCTTTTTTAATGATGTAATGGAAACAAGGAACCTCTTGTTCTCCTCCTTGAGCCCGTACACCCTCAGACCATTCAGGGATACAGATTGTAATCCGCTTCATTTAATTTTATAGCAGAAGTCGATCTCTGTTGAGCTACAGGTCTCTCCGCTACAGGCACATGTCCCACTCCATTAGCATCTCCTCTACAACCGTTCGTCTTTTTTTCATATAAATCACAATTGTTTGAAGTGAATAATAGTTGGAAGGTTAAGAAATGCAGCTGCAGACTTCATGTATTTTTGCATTTGACTGTTAGTTATGATCATCCTCGACACGTCAACGGTCACAAACCGTTCTTTTTTTTTTCGAGGGGAGGTTGGGGTGAAGTGGGCTTGCTCTTTCTGGGATTCCTTAGCTTCAATTATTTTTTTGACGGTACTTTTGGGGCTTTTTAGTTTACATTCGGGGTCCATTACTTTTGGAAAATTTGCGGTAGGTGGCCGCAATAAATTCATTAAGCCCTTAAATACCTAATGGTTGCCACTTAAGAAAGGACTGGTAGAATTTAGTTAGCTTCTGTGGTTATGTTTACCTTCCTGTTTTAGACTGCGTGCAAACTTCTGCAAATGAATGGCTTCAAGTGCGCTGCCCGATGACACGAATACTTTCATTAATCTTTTTATAATCTAGGTGGCTAATCTTTGAGAAGGTCCTCAATGCTTTGCTTTCCAAGAAAGTTTACCATTTGAACTTGAGGGAACTTCAAACCTATGTAAGGGACAACTGCTTTATAAATGACGAGGAAGAGTTCACTACCATGGTGGATTTCTACCATGACCTGGGGATAATTATCAAGCATTGCAGCACAGTCATTGTGAGCGCTGAGTGGTTAATAGACCTATTCAAGCAGCTGATAACCATTCCACCATTTGATGAAACGGTAAGGTCCGAAATACGTTCGGTAAGTGTTTTCAAACTATTGCAGCAGCTTTCTCTTCTAGCACTTTTTATTTATTTATTTGACACACAGTAGTAAAAATACAACAACAAAAATGGAAGATAAGTAGCAAAAGGGACGTGGCGAGGAGGAGACCTATTCGAGATTACGCCTCCTCGAACTGCTGGCTTTAGTTGCTTACATCAATTCAAGCAAAAGATGGCGTACAGTCTAAAGTTCAAAAATTAATGTAACCTTTACAATGTTCTTAAAGGAAGAAAGGGATCGAGAGTTAATAACTTCGTTGTCAAGACAACTAAAAAACCTTGGGATCTTAAAAAAAGGAAATTTCTTAGTGTTTAGTGTTCGAGTCTGTCTAGAATTTCTAGTATTGTTACAACATTGGTATTGATATTGTTTTAAGAAAAACTGTTATGTAACATGATTATATTGGTAACGATGGCCATTTAATTCAGTATATTGCATTCAACTTGCAAAACAACTTTTTATTCAGTCCAGTGCTAAACCACGAATACAGCGGATTTTCGAGTTTATCAAAAATAATGGCGTAATCTACGGCGTCAACTGCTTTTGAGAGGTCAAGAAAAATACAGACATCACCTGAAAAACCTTTTAATCTCTCTACATTTTATTACTCAGGAACCCAAGGTTTCCAACCTCTGGCAGGAAGTTAAAGATAGTGGTGTCCTCAGCATGGAACTGCTTCATCATGTGTTTTCTAAGTTTCTTCTGAAGGGCGCTGCAAAGGATGACATTCTGGACCTGATGGAACAATTTGGCTTGATTGCAAAGTTTTCACCTTCTAAAACTGATGAAAAGTATTTTGTGCCATGCCAGCTCAGAATGCCACCTAATCCCATTTGTGCCATGGTACCCTCAAGCTCAGACCCTTGTCCTCTTTATGTTTACTTTGTTACTGGTTCTGTCCCCCATGGCTTGTTCACACGGCTTGTTTCTCGCCTTGTCAGGTGGTGTTCTAAGGCTGGTCCAGCTCAGCCCCCTACCCTATATCAAAATGGAGCATGGTTCGTCATTGGGAGAAAAATTATCTGTGATTTAGTTCTTATTTGTAAGAAGCAGTTCATAAAGTTTTTCGTCAAGCAAAAATCCCAACGTCAGAAGATTTCAGTGGAGGACACAAGTGAGGTAGCGGTGCAGGTGCGCGAGTTTGTGGAGGCAACTCTACGAACGTTCTCACATGATCTTCTGTATTTGCGTGGAGTGCAGTACGAGATGCGGGTGGCCTGCCCATACTGTCAGCTGGAAATGTGCTCAGGCCATAATCAGATGGGTTGTACTCATGACGACTGTCTTCACCTCCTGGAGTTAAAACAAGGTAACCCACTGATTTGCAAAAAGAAACCTTCAGAGGAGTTACTTACAGTTAGAGGACAGGAAAAATGGTTCTCACAGGTGCCAAGTGAGGTAGGTGGTAATGAAATTCAGTCTCTAGTAAATAATGCTGTTAGGTTAGCGCTTCATTTTTATAAACTAAAAGAGAATCATACTATAGGAGAAGTTAGATACCCTCAAGTATTATTTTATTAAATGTGTAGTCGTCTATCAATTTTTTAAGTTCCAACATAATCTTTTCATGCAAGTTATTAGATTACAGGATGATGTATAATGTATACCTCTTATGTGGCCTAGAGGAAATGACTGGAAGAAATAAAGTAAAATTAAGTGAGTTCATAAGTTCAATTGGTTAGGGGTATCCAACGTCAATTTTCGGAAAATGGCTGTTCGGAACTATATTCTCGTTGGGTGCCCCTGATTGGTACCATATAAGGACTCTAATGCTGATACCTGAAGCTCTTAACATTTGGCTCTGACGAATAATAATAATAATTATCGATGATCCTCTCCTCTTGTGGGACTTTTCAGGGATAATGAAACAAATAATTTAAATAAAACATAACATTGTTAAAAATCCCAACTGGTTGGAGGCAAACCAGTTGGCTATTTACAAGCGTGACCGAGGATTTGAACTCGGGACTACTAAGAACAAATCCAGCAAGCGGTCAGGGCGGGACTTAAACTAGGGGCCTCCGAATTACATTCAACTCCCTTTATAGCGGACACTGTAGGGGCCTCGAATTCGTGTCCTGATTAGCGAGAGACCATAATAGCGGGAGTTTATTTCAGTCAAACGTCTGTAATATTTTTTGCCTGGGATTAAGCTACTATCCGTGTTATCGGGGTGTCAGTTATAGCGGGGTGTTCGTAAGGCGAGAGTTGACTGTACAAGTCCAGCGCCCTAACCGGTCGATCACGTTGCCTCCTTAAAAATGGTTAGGTTTCAAACATCAGCCTTTGAATCTCGCCACAGATAGAAATTGGCCTCATCGACCTTCTTCTTCAATGAATTTGTGTATCGTACAGTGCCTGTAGTACTCTTAATCTTGTGCGTGCATTGCTTTGCTGTCGAAACTTCGCATCATCTTTGTCATATGCAGCAAAAAACTTTCACATTTCACATGACTTATGTAATGGTTCTTTTTCAAGACACAATTATTGGCCTGCTGGCATAGGGGTTGGTATTTTTGACTTCGTTTAATCTTAGGTCGCGTTTTCTTCTTAACATGCTTTTTCTTAGCTGTTTTTGGCATCTGTAATTTGTTGATATCGTGTTGTGCAAACTTAAATCAAAATGTAGGCATCCAGACAGAATTGTTATTCACCATTTTCACAAAGGCCATAATACACCTTGTTCGTCCTCTCCCCCCCCCCCCCCCCCCCCCCCCAAAAAAGAAAATTCATAACAATTGTCGTCGATCTCTGTTGGGACGACTGTTAATACCCAGGAGAAATTGGAAAAAATGGTTATGCAAAGTTTTTTGGGGGACAGAGGGTTGGGGGTAAACAGGATGCATTATCGTCTATGTAACGTAACTGAGCCTGAGGTGAATAATTGTTTTAGTATATTCACACGAAGTGATCTCAACAGAATCAGAAAGGAAACCATTAAAAAACGATTAGTTTGATTGATGGGTGAATTCATGCGTGAACACGAAGCCGTAAACAGTGGATGCGCGAAAGGTAGATCTTTACAGTATCTTCAAAAATAGCAAATGATACTTTTAATCTTTTTGTATCAAGTTTTGTAAGCTTTAGCATCAACGGTTTAAAAGAAAACGCCGAAAATTTAAATTACTACCCAATTCTGATAAGAAAAGTAGAGCTTTTTTTGTTTCTGTCAACTCACCGTGAATAAGAAAGTTTTCTTTGTCGCTTCTTGTAAAAGCTGTCAACAGCGGCTACGATCAAGGTGAGCGTCGTTTATCTCCAATGTTCTTTGCCTTGTTAACTTGCTGGCACGCACAATTGTTGAAAATATTTGCCTTCCTCTTTTCTCCATAAATTAACTTCTATTTATAGGCAAAATTGGTCTTGCGAGAAAATCCCGAAATCATAAAACAGTGACAAAGCGACCTCGTTTTCCTCTGTAGTGGTAAACATAGCTTCGAGCGTACAAAAAGTCAGCTACAGTGATCCACTTCACAATAAATCACGCTGTTTAAACACCATGAAGTCTATTCTTGCCTTCAAAGTCATCAGCACTTGGATATTCGTGTATTTTCGAAAAGGCTCTACTATAAAACTTTGGCAAAACACCCAGTTCACGACAGCGATTTTGTTCTGCTTTATATTCACCGCCTAGCGCGGTGAATATAACGTCATAGTCCGAGATAGCCAACCAATCAGATTGCTTGAACTACCAAGATCACTGAGTGGTAAATAGTTAATTCTTAAATGTGCGTTTTGTTTCCCTTACAGGAAGTGTATACTCCATCACCTGATACTGCACAAACTCACCCAGGGCGTTCAATCGTGAAAGTTGCTCTTCTGGCCAATGAATGGGGTTCATCTAAGGGTGGCTTGTCAACAATAAACAGAACACTTGCCATATATTTGGCAAAACACGCAAAAGTAGAAGTTACAATTCTTGTACCTGAATTTGAGTGTGACGAAAAAGACAAGAGAACTGCCAGAAGTTACAACATTGCCATTAAGGAAGTACAGCGTCGCCCTGCCGTCAGTGATCCTCTTGACTGGTTGAGCTTTCCACCAAAAGATCTTGACATTCAAGTTGTGATTGGTCATGGTGCAAAGCTCGGTAGACAAGCGCAATTTATCCGAGAGTCTCATTGTTGCAAGTGGATGCAGGTTTTGCACACTGAACCTGAAGAGCTGGCAATGTATAAGAACTATGCTAACGCCATTGCCAAAGGGGAAGGAAAGAACAGAGCTGAAGTTGAATTGTGCCAAATTGCAGATCTCGTTGTGGCAGTTGGACCCAAGCTGAAGGAAGCTTTCGCATCCAAACTTTGTTCATCTCATCGAGATGTCTTTCAGTTGATACCAGGTTTCTTTGTAGAGTTTTCAGAGACTCAACATGCTAAACAAGATAGAGCGACTTTTAAAGTGTTAACCTTTGGCCGCGGTGATTTTGAAGACTTCAGTCTCAAAGGATATGACGTTGCTGCTAAAGCCATTGTTGAGCTGCAGGATAGTTCTTACCGTCTTCTGTTTGTTGGTGCTCCTGATGGAAAGCAGGATGAAGTCGCCGAAATCGTATTGCAAACTGGCATTTCAAAGAACCAGCTGATTGTCAGATCATTTGTACAAAACAAGGAAAGACTGAAAGAGTTGTTTTGCGAAGTAGATGTGGCCATTATGCCTTCAAGAACTGAAGGGTTTGGGTTGACAGCACTGGAAGCGATGTCAGCTGGTCTTCCCATTCTGGTTAGTGGAAACTCCGGATTCGGAGAAACACTGCGTGGTCTTACTGAGGGCAAGTCGGTTGTGATCGATTCTGATGACCCCAAGGAATGGGCAAAGGCAATTGGTGCTATCCGTCAAAAACCTAGGATACAACGGCTTGAGGAAATCCGAAGAGTGCGAGAAGTTTATGAAGAGAAGTTCAGTTGGAAACTACAGTGCCAGCTGCTTGTTGAAAAGATGTGGAAGATGGTTTATGGTAAGTAATCAAACTTATCTTAAATTAACTAATAAATTTTAATTAATAATTAAACTGTGTAGTGTTCAAATTCATACTGTTATGTTTGGACTGACTGGCCGGCACCAAATTGCAACACACCAGCTCACTTGAAATGCCATCTCAAGGTACATGGTGGTCGGCTGCTAGGTCAGTCACTTATTTGACGTTCTACGGCGTTACCACTGTTATATTACTCCTGTGTGGGTGTACGACTTGAGAGGTCTCCTGCTGTTACATAAAAAAGAGACAAGAAATATCTCGATTCACCTTAGGCAACCGATAGCAAGACAAAGTCACTACTGAGCAACTTACAGTTACACTTTCATCAAGGCATCATCAAACTGAAGTGGTCTAATATACAAATACTTATTGTTCTGTGGATTTTGCTTATGAGAACATTAAAATATAAAGATTGCATTATACATCTATTCATAACTCGGGAAAACTCATTTGTTACCAAAACAGTTGGTATTAAATCCACGTCAAGACTTCGTGTTGCCTCGTCTATGTAGTGCCGTGAACATTGGCATGCTGTTAACTTAAAGCGCGTTTCCTTTTCCTATTGCACCACACATTTGGTAGAATAGGTTCGTGTTAGTGAAATTAACTTCGGCTGTAAAAATCCGTTGGTTAAACAAGTAAAAAGTGTCCGTTATTATCGAATTAAATTAAGAGACACTGTCAGGGGTTTCCCTAGGGACAAAGGATACCGCCCATAATAATGAGGTGTCTGTAAAGTGGGTTTCGACTGTAATTCGCTACCTGTTTGAACAGTACATGCGTTACTCCAATGTCAAGTTTATTTTTATGGAAGAGTGACTTCATTTTTACTGTCTATTTTTGTAGAAGAGTGACATCATTTTTACCCTGATTTTTACTTTACACCAAAGTAATTGAAAGGAAATGATCCTTCCATGATATTGTTGTTGGATCGGAAACGTGATAAGGTGGCTTGAAACCTGAGTGACAGCCTCTGGTATTTGTAAGCACCACACCTCTTCACAGCGAATATTTTTGTACTTTTGCTATTTTCAGGTGACTTGACATTCCATGCACTTCAGCAAATCCAGTTAGACGCACGTAGAGAGACCAGCAAGTCTGAACTGTCGCAGAACTTAAAGAGGACTGCTCAAGAGAAAGGCTTTGTGATTTCTGACAATCAAGGAGAGGGCAACTGCATGTTTTTTGCTCTTTCAGAGCAGCTTGCTGTCGTAAAAGCAATGAGGATGTCTCATGAAGAGATACGGCAAACTGTGGTCCATTACCTTATGGACCACCCTACGCTGGTAAGTTAAATCGTAGCACTAACTTAGCTTTCTTAACGGTATTTCACAACTTACATGAACACGATGAGATTGTGAGCCGATGTTGTGACTATTTTAACTGCCCCCTCCCCCTTACAACATCAATATGAGATACTGTGATCAAACTGAAGTGTTTAAGTTTTGTCACAACATCGTCAGCAACACTTCTTTTGATCTGGAGAAGTATACGCTTTTTGAACAACTCTCACAGCAAATATTGTACTCGTGCATCCTTAGTGAGAATTTTTTGTTTGTTTGATCCGCATAGCTAATTGAGAGAATTTTGTGGCTTTTAGAACGATACTAATGTGTATGACGCAAGAGTAGCACAAAAACAATTTGACCCCAGACAGGATTCGAACACAATATTGAATGATTTCTTATGCATCCTGTTTTATGAGAATGGAAAATGAATCTTCTCTCAGCCTCACCAATTTTCCACCAATTTGGACAGTTATTTGTAAAAATAAGCATTTGAAGGTTCCTGTTTAGAATTGGTCTTGCTGTTCATCTGAGTACAGCAGGATTCCATTCCAGATTGGGCTTCCGTGCTCTATGACCTCCAGTATAGGTCATAGACTATGTTACAAAATGGTGACAAATTAAGTAATTTCTTGTCTTCATGATATTTACCCCTCAATGCCTCGTTTCAAGGTACAATTTGGAGAAAATAGAGCGAATTAACATAACCAAAAAACCAGTTATATTGCCTGCATTTTGGAATAATATGTATAATTTGGTGAAGAACACAAAATATTCCTCCCGGAAACAAAATAGAAATAGACTCAGAGTCGACGTTTTACTGACATCATGTTCCCTGGGACGAAATCGTGGAAAACATCGAGACTCGAGGGAGATCAAAACTAAGACCTCGTTTACACGGGTCGGAACGAATTCTGCTACAGGTTGCAGTACTTTTTGCACGAGTCCATAGAGATTTTTGCACAGTTTCAGCATTGGAATGGCTTTTTTGAATCTTCTCAGCGTTGCAAGGAACCAATCATGTTACACTGAGTCCAGATTGCGATATTAGTGAACTTACGCAACAGGGCGGAAGAGGAAAGACGACGGCAAACTATGTGTGACAAGCGTGACAATAATTTTGCTTTTGCTTTGCTTCCGCCAAACTTCACATTCCTTTGAACAGATCTTTTTGTGGAAGAGCAAGAAACATTAATGTTAAGCGAATTCCCAACAAAACACGCAAATAATAGCCCCGTCACGTTTGTCACACTTAGGCGTTTTGTCGTTCTCTTCTTTCTGCCGTCCTGTTGCGTAAACTCGTAATCGTAATCTTAAATCGTAAACTCGTTGTCGTATTCTTCACTAAAGATCAATGTTTTTAGGTCTTTCACAAAAAGATCTGTTTAAAGGAAGATGAAGTTTGAGGCAATTTTTTTTCAAACAAAATTATGGTCACGCATGTCACACAAGGTTTGCCGTCTTCCTTGCTCTCCCGTCCTGTTGCGTAAGTTCACTAATACTAAAATGGCTGCAGCAGTAAAAAAATTACCTTTTACAGGCGAAGAGTTGTTACTCCACGTCCTTGTGGGCTTTAAAACAGAAAAGGAAGGCGAAGGCTTTGACTAGGAGACTGTAAAAGCAAAGTGGGATGAGCTCAACAAAACGTTTATCGAAAAATATCACAAAAACTTTCAGGAAAATTTTCGGCGAGGAGTCTGCAAACAACAGGAACAACAACATTTCTGACTTATATTGAGCTCTTTCTGTAATCAAAGGCGCAAATCGGCAGATCGACTTACGTCACTTACCAAAGGCGCATAACTAGGTTCCAGGTTTTTACCCCGCAAACTGTGCAAAAACTTTGCACGGTTAACAAGAGCCCGCGTAAAAGTGGAACCGTTCGGTCATCAATTTTGACTTTCTTCTGATCAGGTCAAAAACTTGCACACGTTGCCGTTCAAAAACTTTCACGGTTCCTCGGTTCCCGTGTAAACAAAAGACGATCCGTGTAAAGTTTTGTTTTTTCAAAAATTAGTCCAGCCCCGTCAGTAAACGGAGCCTAACTGTTGAGGCACCTGAAAAAAAATGTGCTTTGTTTTAGTGACAAGAACATAAGGAAACAAGCAACTACTTTGACACATTTATCCAGCGTGGTAAATGAATTGCATGATACTACTATACATGCGACTTTAGAGTGTGTGTTGTAATTCTTTCCCCAATAAACGTCACATTTTTAATGGCACTACATAAAGAAGCAAAGAGTTAATAACTACACTTTATTTTTTGTCTTGCAGCCAGATGGGACAGAGCTTTTCCAATTTGTTGATGGATATTCATCTTGGGAAGCTTACCTTACAAGCATGATGACAAATGGTACATGGGGTGATCACGTGATACTCCATGGTGCGGCAAACTGCTTTGAAACATGCATTCACGTAATCAGCAGTCTGTCGCATCATAATGACGTAATGATTTGCCCAGAGTATGATGATACTGGTAACAACCGGCTTGTGCTGGGTCACGTGCATGAGCTTCATTATGTTAGCCTTCGTCCGGTTTGAAGAAACCGTCATTTTTGGATAGACGCTCACACGCTGTTGTCGTAAGAATGATACCTCAGATAGTTGTTATAATCGCATTTATTCATGAAAGATAAATTTCTCTGCGCTAGTTCTTAGCTTCACTGTAGTTATTACTAGGGACTTTAAGACCCAACGAAGTCCCTAATGATTTTTATCAGAATTTAGCTCAGCTGTTCAACTTTTTAAGTTGAACGCCATATTTTTTCTTTTTTCTTTTGGGTATAGTTAATTTGTCCCAAAGTTTATTACTGTATAAGAAAAGTAATTTGCCAAGTCTGTCTTCCATTTTAAGGTGGATGGAACCTATATTTTTACCTTTATCTCACCCCGCGTGCAGCATAAAGTTATTCTTCTTGCAATAAAGCTTTGGGTAAGAATACCCAGAGATAGTCCGTCGGCACTCTTCAACTATTTGTGCGTCAACTTTCACAAATGTGTTAGCGTTGCATTTTAAGTTTTAATTCCGTCATAATTTTGTGCAGCGAGTTGTGAATTCACGATTGACTTCAAGCTCCTTCAAACTTGCAGATATAAAACTTGAGATCTCTAAGGCTTATTTGATGAAGTTAGGGGAAAATCTGTCGTAGGATTTCGAAGTTACTTTCATTTTTTGTAAAAACGCGATTTTTAATAAATGCTGACTGGATATCTCACACCCTTTTACACCTACAAGAAAATATTAACGTACCAAAAATCATAGAAATCGATTAAATCTTTCCTGCTGAAAAACGCGATTAAAAAACATAACCATCACGCTTATAAATAGGTTCGCGCCATTTAATTAACTAATGTGAGCACTTTATTCGGTAGCGTTAGCAAAATGTCGTCGTCGGACATGAAAACGTCACTTCAGAAGAGAATTCACGTTCCTTCAAACTTCATTTCCATTATTTCATAACTCTTTCACTTTGTCGATTTTAAGCGAATTGTCCGGGAAATGAATTTTGTTCTCTACGCACAACTATAGAAAAAAGGAGAAAACATTGTCGTCACCTGTTTTTGTCCTCTACAAATTGTTGCATCAGGAGATATCATTTGGTTTTCGTGCAGTAACGGTAAAGAGATGTACCACAAAGCTTGATGCAGGTGCAGAATTCTTGTTTTGCTAATTAGAGACCTTTTGCCGTTTTTGTTGCATCGTAGTTGCTTAAGTTCCCTGATAACTAAATTATTACTCTTCATAACTTAATTTAGTTTGTTCGGTTATTGTTACATGAGTAAAAAGCACATCAGTTGGTTAATTGTCAAGATTAGTTAATTCTCCTTGAATTCCTTACGCATTTTGATTTGTCTTGCGCGCGTTGGGAACATGGCGCCACTATGACTTCCGGATCCTGTTAACAAAAACTGCCATTTCAGTGTGTGGTTTTTAAAATCTAACTGAAACTCTTCGCTGCCCACATTTCACAGTGCGACTACTGTAACCGGGGCCACCTGGTGACCAATCGGATTACAGGAAAATAACAATACATTCCAAGAAAGTTGGTTGTGGGCCAATTAGCAGCTCGTAAAAAATAATAGATAAGTTACTTGAAGCACGAAATTTAAATATTGATAACAAACGTTTTCAAGAAAGCAAAATGTTTCACCAGATAATGCTTTTCGCTTCGAAACTTACAAAGTAACATGCAACAACATATTTCTTTGAAACAAGCTGTTATTATTGTCATCTACCAACAAATTCTTCGATACCATTGCCGCACTTTGCAATAAACATGGACATCAAGTCCAAAATATATCACGGACTTTTCAGGAAACATACGAATTTCTCAGCGGGTGCAAAAGATCACCTCTGTAGGTTGTTATTGATTGATTTCGATCCATGTTGTTGATTTCGTTCCATGGTAATTATGATGGACAACTAACTGAAGTCCCAGAATGTATTGTTATTTTTCTGTCATCCAATAGACCTTTTTACCGATACGGCAGCCATATTGAAGGAGTATTATGGGATGCCCAGGGAGGCATGAGCACATTCCGTTTAGTCTTTATGAGCGCCTTTTGGGACATTTTTTCTTAAAGTTTTCTTAGAATAAGATCCTCTCGGTAATGGGAAAAAAGATCGTTGTGCCGTGTTTGGATGTAATGATGATCGCCTTTTACCCCAGAAATATACAGCTGAGTATAAGTCTGAAAGACCATATTTCTAATACTAAGCGAGTACAACGGATCGTGCTCATGCCCTCTGGGCATCCCATAATACTCCTTAAATCGAATTCATTCAACATTAGGTTTCAGGTCCATTCCTTAATGGCACGCTTTGCTATGTAAAACAAAGAATGTCCATGTTTCTTTTGGCTTTGAATAAACATAACGTGCATGGCTCGTTACTTGAACGAACACCATGAACAGCGATTCTCAGTAAGTTATTACTTTCTGTACACATATCTTCGATGTGCTAGTGAAAAGGGTTTAATATTTCTTTGAGCTTAAACTTAAAAACTGAGCAAATCAGAGGTTTGTCGCTCAAGAAAAAAAAAACTTTACCTACGGACACCTTAGAAAACTCTTACAATTAGGAAATGTCTGTGAAAAGGCCAGATTATACTTTCTTTTAAAATTTCTACCAAAACATTTTATTATCTTGGTTTTAATGATCTCTCACAGCACTGTTAACGATGTTGTTTATAGAACCCTTTTCACCTGATAAATTAAATAACAGTGCCGGCCAGGGTATTTTAACTTTACAGGGTGGCAAAGGAGTTTGGGGGGAGGAGGGGGCGGTGTACCTATCAGGCATCACGCTAACTTTTTTTAGGCCATCGTGCATAATGTGCATGAGCTGCAACTGCAGTAGGTTAACATATGGCGATATCTCAACCCTTGGTATGAATCAGCCCTAATAAAATGTTTTCTCCTTCCTTTTTGGGTACGATCGCGCGTTAACAGTTAATTGAATGAATTTAATTGTTCAAAAGCGAATTCTCTGAAATCCGGTGCTGTTCAAATATTAACTACATTACTCAGCAATCACCTGAACTGAAAATAGAGTTCATAATGCGATTTTGACAGTAGATCAGAGGTAGGCTCGATTATCAGCCGCTGTTCGGAAAATGAGCCCACGTTCCTTCCTCGAACAGTCTCTTGTCGGGGATGACCCAGAGAGCGGTGGAAATCGAGTCTAGATCAGAGGTTGAGGAACAAATAAATATAATAATAAATAAAAATATATAATGATTTAGAGGAAGCACATCCACAAAGTGACTTCTTTGTCTATCCGATTCCTGGTCGAAGTGGAATTTAAAAATGTTGGTTTTTGACTGGGACAGGGGAAAGCCGGAGTACCCGGAGAAAAACCTCTCGGAGCAAGCGAGAGAACCAACAACAAACTCAACACCCACATATGGCGTTGACGCCGGGATTTGAACCCGGGCCACATTGTTGGGAGGCGAGTGCTCTCACCACTGCGCCATCCTTGCCCCCCCAGAACAAGAAAAAGGACCGGGAAATGAAGTCAGGAATTTCTGTTTTTAATTAATGTCTGTGCTTCTAGTTTCAAATGGAGTATTCACCAATCACGGAAATCTAAGACGAAAATCACGCGTCACGCGCTGTGATTATAGAAAATCACGCACCAATGGAGTTTTGAGCCCGCGAGACTTAGCACCCCACCCAAAACCTTGTTTTCACTAATACCGCTGGATGCCATATCCTCGATGAACGTCTTCGATGTAGCCGCACCCGCCACTCTTAACACTCTGGGGTAAATTCCGATCAAGGGAAACGATTTTAGTTCGAGTTAGCAAGGAATTCGACTTATCCAAATTCGAGTTAACCAAGTACTTGACTAAAAAGTGGGTTCAACTCCAAGGGAATACGACTTAGTTCGAGTTAGCGGGGAGTTCGAGTTATCCGAGTTCGAGTTACCGGGGTTCTACTGTAATATATAGATTTAGCCAAGGCTAAAGGCGAAGCTCCAGTTCCACTCACGCTCGTTCCCAAGCTTTGCAGACTCGCTCCTCCCTTAAAAAAAAAATAAGGTGCGCCCGTTTTCCGCCAAAAAATAAGGAATTTCTTGTGGTATTGGAGTGCTAACAAAAGACAGAGCAACACTTCAAACAAGGATTAATCGTCCCCACACCATTGTGCGTTACTGCCCGACGACTTTCCGTATTACTACACGTACAGTATTCAGTGAAAATCCAGCATCGCCAGTGATATTAAAGAAATAGTAAGTAGACGCGAGTAGCTATTTTGTTCTTATTGGCTGGAATATTTTCGCTTTGTTTGAGCGTCATTGATGTCCAGTCACCTCTGTCTTGACTAACCACTCTGTTTATACCGATAATTAGAGCCGAAAATTCAGTCATCCACCATTTGTACAGTTTACTCTTTTGCATTTTTCTTTCAGCGCCTGAGGTCCTCAACTTTGAGCTAACTAATCATTGGGGCGCAGATATGTCTCCTAAGAGGATCCTAAATGTTGACTTAATAGTCCAGTTCCGAATTTGTCTTGGGCGCTGAATAGAAGCACTGAAGACTCATTTACACAGGGTTAGCCTCGACCTAAGGTAAATCTATTCACAAATTTCAGCCAGAAGAAATCCTGTTTACAACTGTGTCTATTGTCTTAAACTCAAATTCAGGCACGTACCTTCTCGCCGGTATTTGGGAATATTTTACTTTATCATTCATTCAAAATAATTCATAATTTAAAAACAAGCTAAAGGTAGATGCTTACCTTCGTCGATGTTAAGTTCACCTTGATAGTGCATGTTTAGAAGATAAAGGGTTGTTCAGGTCTGCAAATATACTCCAAATAGCAGATGTTGTCCATAAAGTTGCCTTCTTCCTATGTTTTTAGACAATAGTTCGTCGTGAAACGAGTAAAATGTTACGCCGACTGTTCGGCCATTTTTCTTTTCACAATTAACCAAAACAGCTCAACCTCGTCCACAGGTCTTCTCGGTTAACGGTGCATTAACCTGCAACTGTGCTTCACTTCTGACGTCATCGGTTGATTAATCGCAAAATTCTTCCAAATTTGGTCAACAGTAGCTGCTTATGGTGAATTATGCGTGTGCTTTTAGCCAATCAGAAAAGGAGAAATATTTTGAATGAACAATAAATTTATTTAATACTCTTAAAAGTGGTTGCCTCAACTTTTATCTGTCAACTTGTAAAGTGATTAGTGTAAATAAAAGAATTAATAAACCAACCTTTGTGTTATATAAGCTGGCTTTGTTTCTTCAGTGAGTTAGTCAAACAATCAGTCGGACATACAATAAGTTACACCAAAATTTCATTTTAACAGCAGAGTTAAACAAAGTTGAGTTAGCGTTGGAGGATCAGTCTTTTAAAATGTCTTTTATTTCGATAGCAAAGGGACTTTATATTGACCAGATTTTTGTGTTTCACTTCCCCAACAAAGTAGTACCACAATGTCTTTTAAAACCAACCCCTGACACCCCTCAGCTCAGACAATAACTTAGTTCGTCAGTCTGTCAGTTTGTTACGATTGCTTACTTATAAAGCTCGTTAGTCAGTTTTTCCTTTGATTTGTCCTGTTGGTGTTTATAAGATGTCGTTAGGAAATTTAATTTGTCAGGTAACTTTTTTGGTGAATCAGTTGGTTACAAGTAGTCTCTCAAAGGATCGTCACAACTAAATGTTTGAATTTAATAAGAATGACAACGACTGGATTTCAACCATTGCTCCAAACGTCAGCTTTGAATCTGTTTTCGGTGGCCAATCCACCCTCTCATCTCAGGCGATCAATGCCAAATTTTTGTGTTTGTCTCTCTTACGACTAGCCTAAAGCGCTGTTACAATTGCCAGTTTTTCTTGTAACTCAGTTCTCTTGTTATTTTTGATGCGACACAAGTTTCAAGGAAAGTTGTGTTGTATAACACCATAGCCTTCCTCACAGGATGACCGATATATACTATATACTACGGTAAGCAACAGGCCTCCCTCACAATCTGTCCACAATCTGTTTGTGAAACCTATTGTATTGTATTTTTATAGTATCGATATATTAAATGTAGTTGATTTTATACCGTTCCTGTTCAACGTTGTGTTACCTTACCTGCGTTAAATTGTCGTCCTTTTGCATCAGAAGTGGTATAGTCTATTTGCATTAAGAGGTTATGTGACATTGTTTTTATGAAAATGAAAGTTATATGATTTTGCCTTCGAAAAACGATTAGTGGGTCATATCTTAAACAAAATAATACTGATTTAGTTTTTCAAACCCCCACCATTTTCTTAAAATGAGTAAGTTCGAACTGGTCACGTGACCAAAATGTGATTTTTAAAATTATAAATTACCTCTTTCTGAACACAAATTTTCCACTTAAGCTTCAAAGAAGATGTTGAAAAGATGATGTGGTAACGTTTACAGCACATCTGAGCGTCCCTATCAAACGCTTAACAAGATATAAGCAAAAAGTAGTTTTGGCCGCCATGTTGGAGGGCAAGAGTACGCCCTCCAACATGGCGACCAATAGGAATCATACTACTCTGTTGAAAAATCAAAGTGCCATAAATTATCTCCCTTAAATGCGTTTCCTCTCAAATTTCGGGTGTGAGATAATTTTTATGCGCTCTGTCAATTTTTGGCATAAGTAAGATTCCAACTCATTGTTTAAGGAAGCATTGGTCACGTGACCTCCTAGTGCAAGTGGCCTATGTTGAGCGATTTCGAAGGATTTTGAGTTCGCTGTTTGACTACCACTTCTGAGTCAAAACTGGACGACAGTTTACCAAAAGTTTTGTAACACAACGTTTAGTTAGCATACATGCATATACCGCCTGCAGATGAAGTAAACGGTAAATACAGTACATTTACTATAAAATTTAATACATCGATTACCCAAACCAGGAGCCGATGCCGAAAGAGATTGTGTGGATTCCCTGTGCATAAACCTCGTCTGGGATGGAGGTATTTTCGTCACCGCAGCAAGTGCTGCAGGAAATTAACATACATTTTTTGAAACGATTCTCTTAAAGCAAACAATGCAAGGACTTAAAGGTGATGTTCAAATAATCCTGATTTTGCGATCCGAAATTTGATTTTTTGTTGCGTTAAGGACTAAACCAATCTAAGATTGCAATCGCAACGAACCACCTCAGCACTTGGATCGTTCAGATTGGTATCTCAATCTGCTTTCAGATCTTTGTTCCATTTAATGAAACTGATTTTCGATCGCAAAAACGTTCTCGTTCATTAATAAACACGGCGGATCAAGTTTAGTTCTGTTAATGTCTATTGTTAAAGTGTTTTTTTTTTGTAGTAGTGTAAATGTAATTATTTAATGTGATTATCAATAAATATATTTAAAGGATTGTAGTGTATTAAGCTCAAGTTCCACTGTCACTAAATAAAATGCTTGGAATTTTTCGTCGTAAAACTATACTGTCCAATATCTGTGTGTGTTTAGAGCGCAGTCAACGCTTGAGAATTCGCACTTGTCCTCTGGATTTTTTTGAATTAAATTCCAAATAATTTTAAGTTGACGAGTCCCAGTATGAACCACCACTAAATTTTCCGTTTTTTCTAGTTTTTCTTTCTGTTTCTTGCACGGGAAGACGCTTAATTTAGTTGAAATTGAGAGGAAGATCGGAGCGGCAGGCAGCTACTGTATGGATCAATCTTATTTCAGAATTTTGTTGCTGCTAGTACGAAAATCCAAACAATCTGGATTTTTTAAGTCTGAAAAAAGTTTGGCTTAAAGGAATACAACTTTTGTTTACCGCCGTCTATGAGCATATGTGAGGATGTACGCTCGCGTGACAGCTAAACGAAACAATTCTATGCTCTGTGGTAGGTCGGATAAAGGTTCTGACTAAACGCATATTTCTGGCGTAATTGGCAACCGTTTTATTAAAGTTTCGAACAAAAATGACCAAGCGTTAAGACGAGAGCTTACCGGCCACTCGTGTTTACCTCCACCCCCATAGTTGATTGCCCCTGTCCACCGAAGAGCAAACCGCTTCGGGAGAGAATCCCTGGGAACGAGGTTAGAAAATCATGATCAGTGCAAAGTCCGGAGAAGAGTTCATCTCAGAAAAACAACGGAAACGAGAGAAAATTCAGAAGCTTTCCCCTTCAGATCAGCAGTCTTGTCTCTATAAAGGTAAGAGTTATTTATAAATTAATGATTGTGTTCCTTTTACACGACTTTTAAGCGAATTGTTCCTTTGAAATATGTGCAGTCGCTGTTGGGTCCTGATGGAATTTGTTCAGGCGGAAGTTCGAAGTTCGGCATAATTTTTAGGCTCATCCTCGCTGTAAGAACCTGTTAAACTCACCGGTGACGTACAACAAAGAAAACAAAGAAGTCAACACAATAAAACCTTGAAAAACAAAAGGTACAAAACAAAGAAAAAGTTCACACGTTCTTACAACGAGGTAAACCCAGTTTTTATGACCAAGGGTTAGTAATACTGCTGCAAATATAGACATATCTCATCATAAGTTAACTAGTATGCGGTTTGTTTTTGAGATTTTGGATCATAAAACAATGCTGGTCTGACTAGCACGCTTCTCTGCAGGAATCTTGCAAAATTAATTCCACTTTCATTGGTTCAAGTCTGATATGAACTGGATTTCTGTTCAATTTCATCAAATTTTAATGCGTAGATTGCAAGATAATGTTGTATATGAAACAGGTCAAAATAGAATTTAGGTTAAATTTTTTTTAACTCGCAGGTTAATTTTCAATTTCCTTTGTTTATTTTCCAAGCCCTAATTATTCATGAATTAGGGCTTGGAGACAAAGGAAATTGAGGATCAACCAAGGATAAAAAATTCTAACCTAAATGTAATACATTGCTCATGAATTAGGCAACAAAACAAGCTTTCTCAAATTGTTTACTAAATGTATACATGCTGAAAGCAATAATTTAATGTGCAGTGCTGAGGTCACGTCATATGTCAAAAGGCAGTAAAAACATAAATTTCTTTTCAGTTTGTCCTGATTCACCATCTTTCTTTAAATGTTTATTGGCTGCATTATTGTACTACCCTGTAAAAGACATCAAAAGTCAACATTAGTTCATAAATCTGATTTGTTTTGGTTTGCATACCAGAATTACTACCGAAACAGGTAGACTGTTTTTTCGCAGACGTATGTAACAGTTGCCATTAGCGACAAAGGTGATCGTTTTTAGTCACTTGTCTAAAGAGATGTTATCTCCAAAGGCAAACGCACGTGATAACAATTTCCTTCACATGGGACACTAAACTTGAGTTAGCCATATTGGTTTTTTGGTTAATCTTGAATCTAGAAACTTCTTAAAGGTGTATCATCACTGTGTGAAATAACCTCCTAGGACTGGAACTGTGCTGTGAGACATGTGTCCAGTGCTCTGACTGAAATTCAAGTTTTCTCCTCTCCCAGCCATGCGTGACACTCTCAAGTTAGTGAAAAAGCAGAGTGATGTGTAAAAATTTAATGGATTACTAAAGAAACAATTCCGAAATTTCATAGTGGTAAAATTCCTTCTTCTTGCTTATCCTTTCGCTCTTTTCTCCAAAATGACTATGAAGAAATTTTTCTTAAACCGACCAATCCAGATGAATTGCAGGACATCTGCGACAATTTCAAGGAAGATAAAGCTCCTGGGTATGATAATATCACTATGCGGTCATCAAAAAGTCTGTTGTGTCAATCATAATAATATTATTGATCTTTTGTTAGCAAAAGGTATTTTTCCTGATAAACTTAAAGTGGCAAAGCTCATTCCTGTCTAATTACAATACTGGGGAGCCTGATATCGATCTTTAATTATAGACCTATTTTACTATTACCAGTTTTTTCCAAATATTTCTGAAAGGTTTAATGGATGAGTATCTTCCCAAGTAGAACGTCACGGGATATTGTAAATTCCAGTTTGGATTTAGTGATAAGCATTCAACATCATTGTCATTGATTTACCTTTGATGTTAGTGCCAATTAAGGTAGTGCCAGTGTTTTCCCTAGATCTGTCAAAAGTGTTGGATACTTTGGATCATGATATTCTATTTTCTAAGTTGGAATATTATGGCTTTCAAGGCTTAGCCCTTTAAATTAATAGATTAGGAGCTACTTTTCAAAACGTGAGCAGTTTATCCAGGTTAAAGAAATGTGCTCCTAGACTCAACAAATTAAATGTGGTGTTCCACAAGGTTCAGAACGGAAGCAGATGACACTAGTATTTATGTTTTGAATTCAGATGTAAACCAGGTATAGATAGTTATGAATTATAGAGCTTGATAGTATGCTCATGGATGAAGGCAAATAAATTATCAGTCAATGTTAAGAAGAACAATAACACACATAAATTTTATCTGTGGCAAATTAGCAAAATCTGTCAGAATAATTCAAAGGTCATGCTAATCTTTTGTCTAACCAGCACTAAATTCAGGGCTGTCAACCACCCTGTGACATCTTGAAAGGGATGATAGATTACGTCTTAATGCATCGCACATGACGTCATTTGTTAAAAAAAAAATGCGCAAAAAAGATGTTGTTGGAATTGTAACATTTGACCCACCAATCACATTATTGCTTATATTACAATGGCATACCAGAGTTTGTGAGGAAACGGTTCGATGTTAACAGTACGATAGCTCTGAAACAACCCAAAATATCTGAAATTTCATTGTCAGAAAGTTTAATCTACTAGAAATGGCAAACTTGGCGATTAATAATTAATCGCCAAGTTTGCCATTTATCCGGGAGATTTCAGACTCCAATCTGGAGACTCAGAGAAATGGTTCAAAATCTGGACTCTCCCAGATTATCCGTGAGAGTAGACAGCCCTGTAAATTATCCCTTTATTATACCCGTATATATCCTTACCTAAGCTATTGTAATATTGTCTGGTCATCCACATACAATACCCACTTGAACAGAATTTTTATGTTACAAAAAAGTGCTATCCATTCTTTATCTAATCAAAATATCATGCTCACACTGCTCCATTACAACCCTCCAAGTTGCGACCATTTTAGTTGCCATGGCGCCTAAAATTTTGGAACTGGCGACTTGATTTGGAGAATAGTCGCCAAGCTGGCGACCGTGAGGAATAGGTTTGTGTTGTGGCGTATAGAAACAGAAATGGTAATCACTTCTACTGAAATATGAAGAACATTTATTCTAGCTGATTTGAATTCCATTACTTTTTTACTTTTCCGTTGAAAAACATGCTAAATTGAAAACTTAAAAAAGTCTTGGAGCTAAGCGTTTTGAAAATGAACATCAATGAAACTTGACTTGCATTTGTTCGCCTAATAGCCTTCAGTCTGTTGCCTTGCACGTGACATTTTAACTTTTGACACGTGACAAATGGCACACAATCGAAGCGCCTTGCTTGTCGACAGTGACGATTTCTTCTATCTTAGGAATGCTTGTCTAGCCAAGTTCGGTGGTTTTTTAACTGGACTACATATTATAAATATTTTTGAATCAATACTGAAAAAATCTAATAACATGAAGAGGGAAAGCTAAATTGGTGCAAATTCAACACAGAACATTATGTGATAACCGTAACGTGTGAACCGTGCTTATGAAGTTGAATCGCGGTTTTGTAAAACAAAAGCGATAATTGTAAGCGAAACTAAACATCGCAAAAAACTGACAGCTTATGGTTGTTGCAAAAAATGTTTTTTAAACACCTGTAGCGATGATAAAGGAAAGAGAAAATTTATTATTTCGTGTTTACATTTTGTTTGGGTTCCTTTCAATTGATTGGGAAAAAAAATTTTTCCCAGTACAACTCGTTGCAAAATTTTCACGTGTGCGGTGTTATCTCTGTAAAGCAATGATTTGATTTAGAAAACTTGTCAATCTTCCTATACTCTCCTGCCTTTGTCAGGCTTTCACAATATCTAGCGATATTAAAAACGACCTTTTAAATCTCCAAAAATATTTGTTAGTTGGGGAAACAATTAGTTCATCATCAACAAAAGTCGCAAAAGAAATGCAAAACAAATATCAGAAAAAAAATAGGTCGCCTATCAAGTTGCGACTGGGAAATTTTGAAAACATTAACAGAGGATGAGTTAAGTTCTGCTCTCATATACCAACTGGGGATTATGTAGAAGGAATTAATGAAGGCCCTAAAGACAAATGGAAATGGTAATTGTCTTTACAATTCCGTTTCAGTATTGATTCAAGGAGATGAATCTGCAACACTTATTCTCAGACTATCAGTAACTATAAATGCCTTGCACAAACGAGTAATTTATATGACAGTGCTGCATTTTAAGTTAAACTTGCTAAATGCTTTTGTTAATGACTATTTTGATATATTAAGTCATTAATATAATTTGGCACCTAAAAATTTCCCCTGGCAGAGCTGATCGCCAAATGGCCACTGAACAAAAATTTTAACTTTGAGGGTTGTGAAGATGACTACCGCACAGGTTGTCGAAACGTTGGTCACTGTCAACAACATCAGTCCTATGCAGGACTACGTTCACCCAGATAATCAAACTCAACCCACTTTTGAAATGACTCCTATAGGTTCAAACCCTTTCACAAATCTTAAACAGTTTTCTGTTTTATACTTGGGTCCAAAAATTTGGAATTCCCTTCAATTATCTGTACGTATCTATCTCAAGCTCTACCACAAATTTCTAATTTTAAATTATTTATAGCTTCTTGAGGACTTTATTTCAGTCAATGACCAAATCATGGGCGGATGATCCTCTTTAAGTACAAGCAGCTTTGGCTTTTTGAGATTTTCTCACCACTCACTCTTTTGACCTAATTTTTTTTATTATCTTTTTTATGAAAGTGTTCTTTTTCAAGTCAAACTGTATTGTTATTCAAGATCAAGATATGTATTGTATTTATGGTACTCTTAATTTTATCTCAAATTGAATGTAATGCTGTAAGAAGTGGTGGTGTAAATAAATAAACTAAATATGAGTTTGAAACCGAGAGCAAAGTACGTGAAAGAGATGTTCATTTGTTTATTCATTTGTTTGTTTGTCTTATTATTTTTTACACTATAAGGAGTTCCTTAAATGTATTCCTTGAGGACTATAGCAGACACTAAGCTAAAATATTTGTGCATAATCTGTTGTGAAATTGACTTAAGGAATATATAGAAATCGTTTTCCATGTTTGCATTGTCCTGCTAGCAGATCGGTCTCTCACTTTGTCTCGTCATGAGAGATGTCTGCTGAAACAGGGAATATTATTGCATTATATAAACACAAGAGGGTTGAGAGAATTTGAGACAGTTATGTAAACCCCACGAGTGTTAATTTATATCACTTGCTATGCAAATACAGGAAAAAAAATTGCTATTGCTTTTATAAATAACCTTCATGAGAAAAAACGCAAAACGTACTCTTTGTTATGGCACTGACTAAAAGAGAAATTCTTTCCAGTCAGCAGTCACGAAGTCTTGTACACAAAGTCCTTGAGTAGCTATTTTGGGTTGAAATTGGTGAAAAATGGATTGAAATGAAGGAAGCATGGATGTAAAATCTTGAAATTTTCTCATCTGCACTTTCCTTGTGCTTAACTAAGTTGCAAAAAACTTGCAAATAATGATGTATACAGTTTTTTCAAGAAAGGTTGTCGCCATAAATGTGCATGCAACAATCTGAAAGGTAATATGGGATATGATCAACACACTGTTCCTAACGACTGTAGCTGTCAAACATACTTTTGTTGCTTTCCTTTAGCACTCGCAAACATATATCCATGGCCTCCCGTGCCATTCTTTCAAATTTCTTTGAAGAACGTGCACTCAAAACCACCCACAATACCTTTCGGGATTGTCGCATGCACTTTTTCCGACAACCTTTATCGAAATAGCTGTTTATATTACAGTCAAACCAGGTCAAGCGTACCCCCCAAGAATTCATTAATGAATTTATTATTCAAAAGTTGAATCCGTTGCTAGTTGTAGATTTCAGATTGATCTCTGCATTCTTGCATGTGTAATGAGCCGTGAATTCACACGCGAGGCAGTTATGAAATTTCTACCAGTTCCATTTTCCTAAAATTGATGTAAATGTCTTCTAAGAAGTTAACAATGCATTCAAAGATTTCCAATCTGACCAAATACAGAGAAGTTCTCATAAAATATTCACTGCTCATTATCCATGCAGAAATGGCGCTTTGAATTTGACACCAGTTTGAGAGATCAACAACATCTTAATACATACCCAGCAATTTACAGATTTTTCACAAAATAGAAATTAATATAATAAATAGAGTACAGGCTTCCCATAATAACAGAGAGGACTAAAAGGATAGGGCAGCCATTATAACGTAGGTGATTACATTAATATTCTCACTGGGGGCCATCATACACAAACACTCCCTGTGCCCATGGGACCTGTGCATTTAAATTCCGGCGCATCTGTGGATCCACGGGGGAACTCATTGTACATATATTTGTGAGTTTAGTATAAATTGGCCTGTTTCATGCTGTTTATTCCTCTCTTCGTTAAAACGGACACCTGCAGAACCCTAGTCTGTCACCCCACCCACCTCTCCGCAGCAATGGCACACTCTGGCGCCTTAGCTCATGCTCCTTGCCGCCTCCCGGCTCGCCTCTTACCATAACTAATCCTAACCTTGTGCCGGTTGAGAGTGGGGGCTCCCAGGCGAGTGAGAATTTATTACGATTATTGATCAAGACAGGTAACACGTTTGCATATACAGCTGTACACCTGCACAAAACACAAAATAAAAATTGAAAGGAAAGACAGCAAAAGGAATAAAACAAAAGAATTAAAGCTTAAAATGCGTTCCAGTTAGTAGTTACCAACAGAAAGCCACATAAATTATGTTGTTCATAAAATCTGCAAAATTAAGAATATTTTTCTTTAAAAGCATTGCCGTTAGCTTTGTCTTAAAAGCTTTTTAGAGGGAGGACTGGAATCCAGCATACACTTAGTCTTAATCTAAAATATTTGTGCATTTCTGCTGTTATCAGTTAAATTGACTTGGTAAAGGTATTTTCAAACGCTTACTCTGTTCTATTGGGATAATCAATGATTTTCGTAAACCCAGTTCTCTGGAAAGATTTCAGAAGTTCACATCAATTTAGTACTTATTGTGTGAGGTTGATTGTTTGCATTAATTGTCGCCTTGTTTCCCATGACAACATGCTTGGGGTACTTTTGCACATTTTTTATGAGCTGATCAACATGACAAAATGAAGGTTAGCTTACCCTGGAAATGTAGCTTGAGTAATCAGTGTAATACAGTAAGATGTTATGCAAGAGTGTTTTGAAAACTTACAACAATAGCACCAGGTTTCTTCTCTTTCCTTTTTTTTTACTGTAAAATTCACCAACACGATTTTTAAAACAATAACTGATAATAATGTTTAGTTTACTAACTACACGTTTTTTTTTTATCATTTTAGTTATGTAATAAAAAGGACAAGTCTGCTCTAATAGTCTTAAACATGAAGGATTATTCCAGTACTAAATTGAAAGCTAAATACCTAAAATACTTTTTTGGAGTAGCAATTTTGGATCTGGCTGGACAGGGACTATCCAGGGTACCTGATGCAGTCATTGAACTGAGTGAACTGCAGGAACTTAGACTTGAGAAAAATAAACTGACTAAGTTACCAACAAGTATTAACCAGCTGAACAGGCTTAGATGGCTGTACTTGGATGGAAACAATCTTACTGAATTACCTGCTGAGATTGGTGACCTAAAGGGGCTATGGCTGCTGAGTGTGAGTAACAACCAGTTGGTTGGTTTACCTACCAGTATTCAAAAGCTGAACAGGCTTGAAATGCTGCACTTGGATGGAAACAGTCTTACTGAATTACCTGCTGAGATTGGTGGCCTAAAGGGGCTGAGGTGGCTTTGTGTGAGAAACAACCAGTTGGTTGGTTTACCTACCAGTATTCAAAAGCTGAACAGGCTTCAATTGCTGAACTTGGATGGAAACAATCTTACTGAATTACCTGCTGAGATTGGTGACCTAAAGGAACTGAGGGAGCTGAATGTGAGTAACAACCAGTTGGTTGGTTTACCTACCAGTATTCAAAAGCTGAACAGGCTTAAAAAGCTGTATTTGGATGGAAACAATCTTACTGAATTACCTGCTGGGATTGGTGACCTAAAGGAGCTGATGGTGCTGAAAGTGAGTAACAACCAGTTGGTTGGTTTACCTACCAGTATTCAAAAGCTGAACAGGCTTGAATTGCTATACTTGGATGGAAACAATCTTACTGAATTACCTGCTGGGATTGGTGACCTAAAGGAGCTGAGGAAGCTGTATGTGAGTAACAACCAGTTGGTTGGTTTACCTACCAGTATTCAAAAGCTGAACAGGCTTGAAATGCTGAACTTGGATGGAAACAATCTTACTGAATTACCTGCTGAGATTGGTGACCTAAAGGAGCTGATGATCTTAAGTGTGACTAACAACCAGTTGGTTGGTTTACCTACCAGTATTCAAAAGCTGAACAGGCTTCAATTGCTGAACTTGGATGGAAACAATCTTACTGAATTACCTACTGGGATTGGTGACCTAAAGAAGCTGTGGCAGCTGTGTGTGAGTGGTAACCCTTTAACTGTTGATGCTATAAAGTTTGCTCTAAAGTTTGCTCTAAAGTTGGAGAAAAGAGGACTGTACACTGATATTGCAGGTGAGGACAAATAAAGGCTAAGTTAAATTGAACCCTTATTACAGTAATAACAAATGAACTGCTAAAAATCTTCGTGACAAACATAAATCGAGATTGTAACATCTAAATAACGACAGGAGACCCAAGGAACCACAGGAGACCCAACGTGGGGTGTGTGCTGCTCGACTTAGTGCTCGCAGCAATTGTAGCGATCACAGACAGTACACGCGTTGTCCAATTTAGTTAGATGTAGTATGGAGTTTCAACTCAAACAAGTATTTTCCCTAAGGAAAAAGACCACAGAATCTTTTTTTGTTTTTTGAAAACTTTACTTTGACCACAAGAAGTGATATTTTATTTTATTCACGCGGCATTTTGACTGACTGCTGTGATCTAAGACCGAAAACAAGGAATATCAGTAAGTTCGCACCCTAGTGAATTAGGCCCATACAAGTTCGCCCCCTACTTTCTGAGTTCACCACGCATTGGTATACTCCAAATTCGAGTTAAATCACCCACTTACAGCAGACATTTATTTCAATCATACCGGTGAATTGGATTGGATTATTGGAGAGAAGGTAATGGTAGGTCGGTGGCAATTGGTGTCTCGAACTCTAAGACCTAAGAGACCTTGAAAAAAACCTGTATGAAAACAGAATCTCCTTACAAGTTGCTTAATCAAAGAGTAAAGTAAAATACCGGTAGAGTCAAACTCACTGGCTTGAAAAAACATGTTAAGTGGCACGGGACAAGGAACAATTATTGAGTCGCCGTCATGACATGAATGAAAATTCAATGAAACATTTACAACTGCAAGTTGCTGCCAAGTTGAGATTGATTTGTTGAAAGCTAACGAATATATAGCTTCGCAAAGTCGCTAAATTTTACAGACGTAAAACACTTTGTCTCACTAACTGTTCGTTTCCTTTAATTTCCTTCAATTTTGAAACTTCGATCTTGAATAAAGTAGTTTTCCAGGTCTGATAGTTCTGTGATTTTCATGAAAAGGCCCTTTGAGAGAATTCACCTTTCACCGTAACGAAGAAACAATCAACTTAATTCCTGCTGACAAAAATAAACGTACGCCTGCAATCAATTGAAAGCTAGTAACTTTCATACGTACACTATTCTCTAATTATATTTATTTCTACAATTTTTGCATATACGTACCTTTTTTGTAATTAATTTTAAAGTGCCTATGTAATTAAAGTAATTTGTTTTATTTTTAATATTTTATAAGTTATTTGTTTTTATCGTGCATTTGATTATATGTAATCTACATAGAAACATTGATGTACACTAAAATATTGACTTTCAGATAGGTTGCAGGTACCCACATTAGCTACAAAAGGGTGACATTTCACATTGGCGCCGGTGATGTAGATCGTCGGACGGTACGACTGGTAGACGTACCATCACGTGACTACCAAAATTTCTCCGTTATAATTCTCTGCATGTAGCAGCTCTCCTAACCCTAAATGCTAATTGGTTCGGTACCCTAACTGTGAAATAATGGGAATTAATGATAAACAATGATGTGGTTTTGTTTTCTGCGACCAATGAGGAAACACCTCACGAACAACTCCTACATTTACTCACTGTTAATAGTTTTAATATTGAAAATCAGACAATTAAGAAGAAAAAAGCAAGCACTAAAAATCTTGAGACAAAAGTATTTGTTCTCATTGAAAACTAAAACATTCAGACCAAAAGATAACTGGCAGTTAATAATAAATTTTTTTGAAAACCTTCTATGGTAAGATTTCTGTAATTAAGTTCTTGATTGTTAGCATTAATCTGAGTAGCAGCTGCTAGTAGTCGGTAAACACTGAATCATTTTAACAACATTACTGTGGGTAAAAAGACCATCAAGACTAAACTAGTACATTGCAGTGCGGACAATCAAACTGGACAGTTGGTAGAATATTGTCCAATCACAACTTTTTCTCAAAATAAAATATTCTCAAGTGTTTTTGTAGACAGACTAATAAAACTCAAGTATTCAACTATGCAACCGTTGAAATTTTTAAAACCGTTTAAACTTACCTGACCTATCAGGAAACAGCCCTCAAATTGATGGATGTTGTTGCACGGCCCGTGTGCAAAAAAAAAAAAAACCTTGAGAATCTTGTTTCAGAAAACGTTATGATTGTACAATCTTCTTCCTAGTGTCCCGGTTTGAGTGTCCGCTCTGTAAGTTTGAACAAAGCATGCAGATTTGCAGTTGTATTTGCTCATAAAGGGATAAGTGAGTTGTGAAACTGTGCCTCCATGATCTGCAGGTTACTGGTTGGTTCTAATAAACAAAGACTGACGTGACAAATAAAACAACACATTTACGAGGGTCATGTCTGACACATGATTTTAAAATTTTTTATTCTTTGTAGCTCCCAAGGAAATAGAAGCACGAGGAGAAAGAGCGCAGCTTGTTTATCAACGTGCTCTTAGAGATGGTGCTGTTAGTGTTCAGCGTTCTCGGATATTGCTGATTGGTCAGGATAGGGCAGGAAAAACAAGCTTGAAAAAATCTCTTATTGGTCTGCCATTTAATCGTAACGAAAATAGTACTGAAGGAATTGAAGTGGATCCGTCAATCTTTCAAGTGCATGCCGACGAAGTTAAGAACTGGCAACGTATTGATAAGAGTGAACGAGGGTTGTTGGGTTGTTCTAACGAGGTGGCACAGATGGTGGTGGAAAAGCTTTGGTTTGGGGAGGAGAAAGAAGATGCCGAAATACACAACAAAGACCAGCTTAAAAATGAAAATTACAAGACTGGGACAAAGGCGGATGATGCTGATGGTGAAAGGAGAGACGATTCATTTGTGAACCAGGTTTGTTTCCAGTTAAATCTTGGCTTTTGTATCGTACTTTAATCAAGTATTGCTTATGGCAGAAATTAAGGTGGCCCACCTACCCTCACGAAACTTGGTTTAAAATAGCACCACTCAATTACGTTAAGCCGTGGTCGGGCGGGGTTCGAAACTGGATGGGTAACATCATATTGGCCGAAGTGGGAAGGTGGTAAGTTAAACGCTGATAATTGCAAATAAAACTCCGACGTTTCGGCAATCCTGCCTTCATCAGGGAAGGCTGATTTTCCCTGATGAAGGCAGCATTGCCGAAACGTCTAGAGATCCTTATCGCTCAATTCCCAACATTAGGGTTATTGTGTTATGCCTTCGTTAGTCTATCCATACTTTGAACTTGACATTGAACAAGATGAAATACGCAAAGCCTTGTTTATTATAAAAGCAAGAAACTGAATGGATTGAATGATTTTGATCCCTTTTTCTTAATCGTAGTATTTTGTAGTAATTCTCGTAGGGGGCGTCTAAATCAATTTTATCAGCGTAGAGGGGAGCATTTGTTATATAAGAGGCGTTTATTTGGAAGTGGGTATCTATGAGGTCATTTACGGTAGCCAACTTAACAATAGGGAGTTTAAGCAAATCGCTACGGCGACCTCTACTACGACGGCCGGAAGTAAAAAAGCCCCGAAATGACGCAGTGCGCATGCTTGGAAATGACCTTTCGCCGTAGCGCCAAATCCTACGACGTGAAGAGTTGTCTTCTAACGTAGTCGCTACTACGTGAGTATAAAAGTCGACTCTTCTCCTATTTTTTACGATCACTGGTTTTAAAAAGCTATCAGAGATTGTTTTTCACTTTCTCAAGAAAGTATTCGAGGCTTCTGGTTTTCCAGTGAATACGTTTTCCTTGCGTTTTCTCAGTTTGAGATTTCGATCCTCAAGCGATTGTGCCATGAGTTCTGCCGCGCCATGGCCATGGCCTCAGAAAATTCGCCAGTACAAACAAAGGCTAGACGAAAACCGTAATCACGACTGTTGCCAATAAAGCTAAATGTCACTGAAGGTTGTTTAAACAAGAATAGAATAGAATAGAATAGAATATCGAAAACGCTGAATTTGCTGATTTGTTGTTAAACGCGGTTCACAAGAAGAAACATCACTAGCAGCTTACTCCGATCTTCATCTGTAGTTTTCTGTTTTGTGTACGAATCGCCCTCTGATGATGTTTACTACCAATATTCTTCTTGGCAAACGAAATTTTTAAATTGGCCATTTTCTTACTTGACCACCATTGAATTCTGTTGCTGATAAATTATAGCGAAAGCAAGTGAGCAAGAACCGAGCTTGAAATGTGGCGAGCTACGAGACGTACTCTCCCCAGGACACCGCATCCGCGACAGCCGTAGTAGAGGTCGCCGCAAGAGGTCGCCGAAGCGATTTGCTTATCGTCGAATCTAAGTCGCGTCGAATAAATTAAAAATAGGTTCGACAAAGAGTCGACTTAATTCCAGCGTGGTAACAAACGTCGAACCTGCGTCGATCCTATTTCACAAGCTGCACTTCATTGAAACAAGCTAGGGAATAAGCACTTTTCCTCGTGCTATTCGCTCGATGTGCGGCTAGTTACTGCTAGGACTTGCTGGCGAAATGCCGAAATACAGTGCTTGTCGGGTCTTTCTTTCTTTTACCGGCTGTCCATCCCTCAACAGCATTTATTACAAATAGGCATTTAACATCTCAAGCATTTATATTCAGTGTTCATGAAACAGGAAAAAGACATTTCCATCACGCTGTGCGATGTCAGCAATGACTTTCGATAGCTCGCCATTCCCGGTCGCGAAATTGTCTTTGTAAAGCGCATGCTCGTCAGGGGGGGAAATAGCGTTTCGCAGATGGGGGAGTCAGTATTTTTGTGACGTTTGCGCAGTCCATCACACAAGAATAAATTATTTTGTAATTTGCGTGATTTATGAATTGAGTTCAGCGCGTTTTTAGAACGGCATTTGCTGAAACGCCGAACCACTGTCGTATTATCCGACTTGTTAAGTCGAACTTATGCTGGAGTCGAACCAATTGATTTGAGTCGAACATATTTGCGGCAAACGTCGCACCATTTATGCGCCTATTTCAAAATTAATAGATTCGACGAACTAAGTTCGACTAAGATTCGACGTTTGCCCAGGCCTAACAATCTGCCTCGCTGTGCGATCCACGCGCGATGCGAATGTAGACAATTTTCTTGTAACTTTCGTTACGCGAGGAATGAGTCATGATATTATATAACGATAAAATGTTATTGTTACTCAATGTCAACGTTTCAAATTATATTATCTGCAACATTTATTTAAGGCCCCGTTGACACAAATCGGAATATATTTGAATCCGCATATTAAATATTATCATCGTTTGGAGTTTCCGTTTGCATGAAACCAATGAATCCGCTGACCGCGAAACCGCATCTTTTTGAAACTGCTCTCCCCAATGTTTGTTTGCAGTGCATCATGGGAATAGCTTAGTTTATGCCTTTGCCGAGGTTTCTATCGAACAAACAATGACGCAAGACAGTTTTAATATTTTGTATTCAAATTTTTGTCCTCACAAAGCAACAAACAGGTTTGTTCTGAATAGATGTTTGTGCAGGTTTGAATCTGTTTGGTTGATGCCCATCTCCCCAATGATAATGTCTTGATGTTTGAGTTGATCCATCCTTTTTTGGAATAATAGTACAGTAAACACCCGCATATAAGAACAAATGGATCGAGAACATCAGGTTGAAATTTGGTTCATAAAGCACCGTATAAGTAAGAACCAGTCATCCTGATAAATAAAACATGTCCTTATGTAATAACGGAGAGGATGTCAGAATAGAAAAGCAATGTAACTGTATGGTTGCTGCTAGACAATTACAAAACTATAACAGATTTCTTGGCTGAAGAGTCAATGGTGGCCCCGGTTGAGTTAATAGCATGACTGTAAGAAATATTTAAAAAATGTTGAAACTGTTACATTTCTACTCGTAAATGTTAACGAGTTTACTACCTGACAGATTTTTATTTTATTTATTGATTTACTGATTTGTTTGCTTAATTACTTATTTATTGGCAATAAAAATTAAAATATGCTAACTAAACCTCTGGTAACATGTTAAGTGTAGTATTTCTGAAACACTGTTTAAGAACACATTAAGAACATCTTCAGGCTGATTTCTCACTAAGCACCTGATAAACAAGTTAAAAATCCTTTTCCTGTTATAGGTCCCCGATCCAAAAAAGGAAGGTGTCAGTGAAGTGATGTCATCGGAACCTGAACATGAGTTAATGATTGATACTACTTCACCTCCAGACGAGATCACAAAGCGCGCTGTAGAGTGGATAAAGTATGTTCATGGTAAAAAACGAGTCACTGAAAAATCTGTTGGTAGTATTGAACTGTGGGATTTTGCTGGACAACAGCTGTACTATGCATCTCATCCTGTATTTTTAACATCACGTGCAATATATATCTTGGTGTGCAACCTCAGCAAATCATTGCATGACACTGCCCAACCCTGTGTGAGACAAGGAAATCATAATTTCACATTGGACAACCCAAATGGGGAAACAAATTTGGAGAATCTGCTATCTTGGCTGTCCACAGTGCATAGCATCACACAGATGAGAGGACAAACTCATGACGATGCAGAAGGAAAGCTGCCTCATTTGCGCCCCCCGGTTATCATTGTAGGTACCCATGCTGACAAACCGTTTGAAGACATTGCAACGGTGAAGTCAAAAATACAGAAGGCAATTGCTGGTAAGGACTATGAAGGACATGTGGTGCGGCCTATCTTCAGCATTGACAACAGTGCAAAATTAATTCAGAGAAGGTTGGAAAAGGTTTTGAGAAAAGATAAAAACATTGATGACATCCAAGAGCTAAGAGACAAAATCATGGAAGTGTTACGGCAGGAGCCATACATGAAGGAAAGGATACCTGTGAGGTAAATAAAGTGAATAATAGAACACAGATGTCTTTTGACGAGAATTTCCATGTTAATTAAGGGTTGAGGTTTGGCAGCATTAAAACTATAGTGGACATATGTACTTATTAAAAACTGAATCATTGGATAATGCAATTGTAGCATTTTGATTGGCTTAGCCGTTATGGTATATGAGCTATTATACCATGCTCTCCATATAATGGTCGGTGTACGCGTCAGTTTAAAATTGGAAGCTAGCTGAGATTTTTTTTTCGCGAAGGATAGAACGGTGCCCGAAGCAAATTGTTTTAATTCATTTCTTAGAATACTAGAAATGCAATTTCATCGAAAGAAAAAAGACAAAAACACACAAAAAAGCCACAAGAATTTGTTTGAAAGTTTGTCGAAAAACACATAAAAACACATGGAACTAAAGTACCTTGACCAGCTACGCAAGAAGACAAGTGTTGTTTCTTCATGAGCCGATCGAGTCACTCGCCGATAGATAACTGCGGCTTGTTTATCCGACATCTAGAATATTAATCACAAGTAACTAGATACAAACACAGGCTATGCAGCCATTCACAGTATAGCTTCTTTTCTCGTTCAGCAAAACCAGCTTGTGGCTTCAAACAACTTCATAACAAGCGACCGAGGTAACAGTTTTTCTCCGTTGTTGTTACTTTTATAACTGCACCGAAAATCCAAATTCACAGTAATTTCGACGGCTGTCACTTAAAATTTTCCTTCACATTATCTGCCAGGTTTTTTTAGCTGTTCTGCTGTGTAAAATCCTAGAATCCCGATGAGTTTTTAAAAAACTAATGTTCATCGCTACAATGATTCATTCATGCAGTCCAGGCGAATCCGTTCACGCGTTGACAGTTTTGATAGACGTGTGACATGTGAATAGCGGAAGTCCCTTGTCTTTTCCGGTTTGTTCTAGTCGGGGAGATTCAACGAGATTTTGTGGGCGTTTTTAATAAAACAATTATTCCACTCGCGCTTGTTGGATATGAAATGATTATAGCCAACTCGGCGCTACGCGCCTCGTTGGCTATCTATCATCTCATATCCAACGCGCCCTCGTGGAATAATTGTTAAATATACACTGTGGGCCTTTGTCCAGTCCATATAGCATTTTGCTTGCATATCCAAAGAGGTTTATGTTTTACCAGTAAATACCGTATTTATTCGAATAAGCGCCCAACCTCGAATTAGCGCCCACCTCGAATAAGCGCCCATCCTAAAGGCCGAAAAAGTTAATAAGCGCCCAGCCTCGAATAAGCGCCCACCCCCTCCTCCTCCCAATCAAACCCAAATAAGCGCTCACCCCCACCCCACCCACTTCAGTGAATAAATTCTAATCAGAGACTTCCCCGAGGACGGAGTTTTCTTCAGAGTATTTTACAGAAACCTTGCTTTGTTACTTCTTCGCGTTTTGTTATTAGCATTAAACATACTTCACTTGATTAAAATGGTGAAAATTTAATAAGCGCCCAGCCTCGAATAAGCGCCCACCTCTAATAAGCGCCCACTCTCAAGGTCCAAAAATTTAATAAGCGCCCAGGGCGGTTAATCGAATAAATACGGTAGTTGGCTACATGGGGATGCAAAATCCTCGTATAAGATAACTAAAGGCTGCCGGCACATCGTAAGTCAGTGACTTAGGTTGAACGGCAGTCTAAAGACTTTGTCAGTAATAGGAAAAACTAAACACGTGAAACAAGCGAACGCAGAAATATTGTATACGTCACTCAAAAGCGTCTTTCTTTAAGCTTCCTAATATGTGATGCAGGCCCTCTCTTTTAACGTGTAATTTATTCCAATGCATTAGTTTACCTAAGAACAAAAGGAAATGAAATTTAAACCAAGGATAAATATGAACCACAGAGTCACCCTATATCACAACGTTGGCTTACCTTGAAGGAAATCGACAAAGGAAGGGTTTGATGGGAGGCGGCTTTCCAGAACATTTATAATAATAATAATAATAATTTATTATTTGTAAGGCGCAAAATAATATTTAAATATGATCTTTCGGGGGTCGTTACTATGGCGGAGCCAAAAGCGTGATATAAAAAACTGGTAGAGACAACATTTTATTTCCAAACAAAAGGGCGAAAAGTCGCTAAAAAATAAAAATCGTCAAGTTTCTCCTCGCTGGTATGTGGGTGGCTTCTTCTTGTGTAAACCGTGTTGTCAGTGATTTTTAAACTCTTAACCTTTTTTCAAGATGCAATAGAAAAAAAGGAATCACTTTTTGTCCTCCTTGAGGCCATACACTTTCAGGCTCACTTCTGCTTTGTACGGCATGTAATCTGTATTTTATTTTATAGCAATGGTTAGTTCTCGATCTTATCAGTTTATTTTATAGCATCTCCTTTGCCACCGTTTGTCTCTTTTTTCATATTTATCCCCGATTGTTTGCGTTGAATAATCGTTGAAAGCTTGGGAAATGCAGCCGCAGACTTTATTTAATCTTGCATTTGACTGTTAGTAATGATCTCCCTTGACACATGAACATTCAAACAGTTCTCTGTTTTTTTCGGGGGGAGATTGGGGTGAAGTGGGGTTGCTATTTTTGGGATTCCTTAGCATTAATTATCATGTTTTTTAGCGGTACCTTCGGGACTTATAAGTGGCCACATTTTTTGACGTTACATTCGGGGTCCGTTACTTTCGGAATTTTACTTAAGGTGGCCACAATAAATTACGTGAGCCCTAATGCCTAAATGGTCGCCACTCAAAACGTCAGGACTTGTAGAATTTATATTTGAACCTCTCCACAACGGTCACCTTGGGGACAGAAGAAAGTGGCCGTTGTAGAGAGGTTTAAACAAGAGTCAATGTATGGACTGCCGCCAAAAAAAGTGGCCATTGTAGAGAGGTGGCCGTTAGTAGAGGTTCGACTGTAGTTAACTTCTGTGGTTATGTTATATCTACCTGTTTTAGATTGCGCGCAAACTTCTGCACATGAATCGCTTCAAGCCACAAAAACTGCCCGATGACACGAATACTTTTCATTCATCTTTTTATAATCTAGGTGGCTGAACTTTGAGAAGGTCCTCAATGCTTTGCTGTCCAAGAAAGTTTACCATTTGAACTTGAGGGAACTTCAAACCTATGTAAGGGACAAGTGTTTTATAAATGACGAGGAAGATTTCACTACCATGGTGGATTTCTACCTTGACCTGGGGATAATTATCAAGCATTGCAGCACAGTCATTCTGAGCGCAGAGTGGTTGATAGACCTATTCAAGCAACTGATAATCATTCCACCATTTGATGAAACGGTAAGGTCCGAAATACGTTCGTTAAGTGTTTTCAAACCATTGCAGCAGCTTTCTCTTCTAGCTCTTTATATTTATTTATTTATTTATTTGACATACAACAGTAAAATTACAACAACAAAAATGTAAGATAAGTAGCAAAAGAGACGTGGCGAGGAGACCTAAGAGAAACTATAAAAAGCCTCCTCGAATTACGGGCTTTTTGGTAACTTTGTTGTCAAATAAACTAAAAAAAACTTTGGATATTGAAAAAGGAAATTTCTTAGTGTTTGTTCGACAATAGGGTAGACGGTACGATTGACCTGCACCCATCCAAACCTCTTATTTCATTCAGGGTCCCTATAACCTGCACTACCTATTGTTTTCAGGGATAGGGGCATTGTTTTGTCACCATCTCTATTGATTTCCCAGCCAATCACAAACCTTGTTTGGAATAGGTGCAGGTCGGCCTAGACGGTACGCCTAGGAATTTCTAGTATTGTTACAAGACCGGTACTGATATTGTTTAGGAAAAATTGGTATGTAACATGAATATAATTATTTGTATTGTCGGCAAAAAAAATATAAAATTTAATAAACTAGAAGCATTGTTAAGACACAACAACAAAATTTTTAACGAACGACGGCCATTTAATTCAATATATTGCATTCTACTTGCAAAACAACTTCTTATTCAGTCCAGTGCTAAAACACGATTACCGCGGATGTTCGAGTTTATAAAAAGTATTGGCATAATATACGGCGTCAACTCTATTTGAGAGGTCACGGAAAATAAAGATATCTTCTAAAGAACCTTATAGTCACTCTACATTTTATTTCTCAGGAACCTAAGGTTTCCAAACTCTGGCAGGAAGTTAAAGAAAGTGGTGTCCTCAGCATGGAACTGCTTCATCATGTGTTTTCTAAGTTTCTTCTGAAGGGTGCTGCAAAGGATGACATTCTGGACCTGATGGAACAATTTGGTTTGATTGCAAAGTTTTCACCTTCTAAAACTGATGAAAAGTATTTTGTGCCATGCCAGCTCAGAATGCCACCTGATTCCATTTGTGCCATGGTACCTTCAAGCTCAGACCCTTGTCCTCTTTATGTTTACTTTGTTACTGGTTTTGTCCCTCATGGCCTGTTCACACGGCTTGTTTCTCGATTGGTCAGGTGGTGTTCTGAGGTTGGTCCTGCTCAGCCCCCTACCCTGTATCAAAATGGAGCATGGTTCGTCATTGGAAGGAAAATTGTCCATGATTTAGTTCTTATTTGTAAGAAGCAGTTCATAAAGTTTTTCGTCAAGCAAAAAATCCAGCGTCAGAAGATTTCAGTGGAGGACACATGTGAGGTAGCGGTGCAGGTGCGTGAGTTTGTGGAGGCAACTCTACAAACCTTGTCACATGATCTTCTGTATTTGCGTGGAGTGCAGTACGAGATTCGGGTGGCCTGCCCATACTGTCAGCTGGAAAAGTGCTCAGGCCATAATCAGATGGGTTGTACACATGACGACTGTTTTCACCTCCTGGAGTTAAAACAAGGTGACCCACTGATTTGTAAAAAGAAACCTTCAGAGGAGTTACTTACGGTTAGAGGACAGGAAAAGTGGTTCTCACAGGTGCCAAGTGAGGTAGGTAGTAATAACATTCAGTCTCTAGTAAATAATACTGTTAGGTTAGCGCTTCATTTTTATAAACTAAAAGAGAATCAGACTATAGGGGAAGTTACATACCCTCAAGTATTATGTTATTAGATGTGTAGTCGTCTATCAATTTTTTCAGCTCCAACGTAATCTTTTCATGTAAGTTATAAGATTACAGGATGATGCATAGTTTATACCTCTTATGTGGCCTCGCACATGAATCTCCGTAGGAAAAAGAGGAGAGAGGAAATAACTAGAAGAAATAAAGTAAAATTAAGTGAGGTCATAAGTTCAATTGGTTAGGGGCACCCAACGTCAATTTTCGGAAAATATCTGTTCGGAAGACGATTTGAATTTTCGAAACATTTGTTGTAAAATTTGTTGCTTGCCAGACTCTCCTAGGATTTTCGAACATCTAAAAAATGGTATAATTGCCCATTTTAACGGATTTTTACCCTAAAAATGTCACCTAGAATTTTCGGAAGCCCTTTTTTCTGGCTGAAATTTTCGAAAAGGTAAGTTTTGATCCCCATAATTTTCTGATCACCAGAATTTCAGCTAGGAAATCCGAACAGATGAAAAATTTTTAGGAGATAAAAATATGCCTATATCTACCGTTTAAGTACTAAAATACGTTTGACAGTGCTATGTTTGAGTGGTTTTGAACTATATTCTCGTTGGATGCCCCTGATTGGTACCATATAATGACTAAAATGCTGATACTAGAAGCTCTTAGCATTTGGCTCTGACGAATAATAATGATAATTATCAATGATCCTCTTCACTTGTTGGACTATTCAGGGTTAATGAAACAAATAATTTAAAAGAAACATAACATGGTTAAAAATCCCAACTGGTTGGAGGCAAACCAGTTGTCTATTTACAAGCATGACCGAGGATTTGAGCTCGGGAGTGCCAAGAACAAATCCAGCAAGCGGTAAGGGCAGGATTTAAACTCGGGGCCTCCGAATTACATTCAGCTCCCTTCGTAGCGGACACTGTAGGGTCCTCGAATTCGTGTCCTCATTAGCGAGAGTCCGTAATAGCGGGAGTTTATTTCAGTCAAACGTCTGTAATTTGTTTTTGCCGGAGATTTAGCTACTGTCCGTTTTATCGGAGTGTCAGTTATAGCGGGGTGTCCGCAAGGCGAGAGTTGACTGTACAAGTCCAGCACCCTAACCAGTCGATCACCAAAATTCTTTAAAACAATGGTTAGTTTTCAAACTTCAGCCTTTGAATCTCGCCACAGATGGAAATTGGCCTCATCGACTTTGTTCTTCAATGAATTTGTGTCTCGTACAGTACCTGTAGTAATCTTAATCTTGTGCGTGCATTGCTTTGCTGTCGAAACTTCGCATCATCATTGTCATATTATGCAGCACAAAGGTTTCAAATTTCACGTGACTTATGTAATGGATCTTTTTCAAGACACTATTATTGGCCTGCTGGCGTAGGAGTTGGTATTTATGACTTCGTTTAATCTGAGGTCGCGTTTTCTTCTTAACATGCTTTTTATTAGCTGTTTTTGCCATCTTTAATTTGTTGATATCATGTTGTGCAAACTTTTGATCGAAATGTCAATTGTAGGAACTCAGACAGAATTCTTATTCACTATTTGCACGTAGCTCATAATACACCTTGTTCCACCCAAAAAATATTGCATAACCACTGTCTTCGATTTCTCTTGGGACGACTGTAATACTCCAGGAGAAATTGGAAAGAATGGTTATGCAAAGTTTTTTGAGGGAAGATAGGGGGGGGTGGGGTATGTAGGGGGCAAACAGGATGCATTATGGTATATGTGAAAATGGTCAATTCTAAAATGCGCGTTTTGCTTCCTCTACAGGAAGTGTGTACACCATCACTTGATATTGATCAGAGTCATCCAGGGCGTTCAATCTTGAAAGTTGCTCTTCTGGCTAATGAGTGGGGGTCATCTAAGGGTGGCTTGTCAACCATCAACAGAACACTTGCCATACATTTGGCAAAACACGCAAACGTCGAGGTCACAATTCTTGTGCCTGAATTCGAGTGTGGCGAAGAAGACAAGAGAACTGCCAGAGGCCTCAACATTGTCATTAAGGAAGTACAGCGTCTCCCAGGCTTCAGTGATCCTCTTGACTGGTTGAGCTTTCCACCAAAGGACCTTGACATTCAAGTTGTCGTTGGTCATGGTGCAAAACTCGGTAGACAAGCACAAATTATCAGAAAGTCTCATTTTTGCAAGTGGATGCAGGTTGTGCACACTGAACCTGAAGAGCTGGCAATGTATAAGAACTATGCTAATGCCATTGCCAAAGGGGAAGGAAAGAACAGAGCTGAAGTTGAATTGTGCCAAATTGCAGATCTCGTTGTGGCTGTTGGACCCAAACTGGGGGAAGCTTTTTCATCTAAACTTTGTTCTTTTCATCGAGATATCTTTCAGTTTATACCAGGTTCCTTTGCAGAGTTTTCAGAGACTCAACATGCTAAACAAGATAGGGCGAATTTTAAAGTGTTAACCTTTGGCCGAGGCGATTTTGAAGACTTCAGTCTCAAAGGATATGACATTGCTGCTAAAACCATTGTTGAGCTGCAGGATAGTTCTTACCGTCTACTGTTTGTTGGGGCTCCTGATGGAAAGCAAGATAAAGTCGCAAAAATCTTACTTCAGACTGGCATTTCAAAGAACCAGCTGACTGTCAGATCATTTGTACAAAACAAGGAAAGATTGAAAGAGTTGTTTTGCGAAGTTGATGTGGCCATCATGCCTTCAAGAACTGAAGGATTTGGGCTGACAGCACTGGAAGCGATGTCAGCTGGTCTTCCCATTCTGGTTAGTGGAAACTCCGGATTTGGAGAAACACTGCGTGGTCTTACTGAGGGCAAGTCAGTTGTGATCGATTCTGATGACCCCAAGGAATGGGCAAAGGCAATTGATGCTATCCGTCAAAAACCTAGGATACAACGGCTTGAGGAAATCCGACGACTGCGAGAAGTTTATGAAGAGAAGTTCAGTTGGATAAGACAGTGCCAGCTGCTTGTTGAAAAGATGTGGAAGATGGTTTACGGTGAGTAATCAAACTTAAATTAACTAATAAACTGTGTAGTTTTCAAATTCGTGCGGTTTTATGTTTGGACTGACTGGCGGGCACCAAATGGCAACACACCTCTTCATTTAAAATGTCATCCCAAGATACATGGTGGTCGGCTGCGAGGCCACACACTTGTCCATTAAATTGACGTTCTGGGGAGTAGGACGTTACATTGTCACCTTACTCCTGTGTGGGTGTAAGACTTGGGAGGTCTCCTGCTGTTATATCAAGCAACAGCAGAACACAAATCTCAATCCACCTTAGGCAACCGATAGCAAGACAAAGTCACCACGCTTTTACTTTCATGAAGCGGACATCATCAAAGTGAACTAGTCTAAGATACAAATACTTATCATTAAGTGGATTTTGCGTATAAGAACATAGAGTACATTATACATCATGTCATAACTTGGGAGAACTCATTTGTTGCCAAACTGTTGGTAATCGATGTTAAGACTTCGTAATGCCTCTTCTAGGTAGCGCCGTGAACATTGGCATGCGGTTAAGTTAAGGTTTGTTTCCTTCACAAATTTAAAGCTTATTGCAGCACGTAGTTGCTAGAATAGAGTTCGTATCAGTGAAGTTACCTTTCTGTAAAAACCGTTGGTTGAACAAGTAAAAAGTGTCCGTTATAGGGTTGAATTTAGAGACACTCATTTTTAGGACCCATAATAATGAGGTGTCTGTAAAGTGGGTCTCGACTGTAATTGGTTACCCGTTTTGAACAGTACGCTCGTTACTCCAATGTCAAATTTATTTTGAAAGAAAAGTGACATCAGTTTTACCCTGATTTTTTCTTTACACCAATGTAATTGTAAGGAAATGATCTTTCATGATATTGTTGTTGGATCAGAGACGTAATAAGGTGGCTTGAAACCTGAATGAAACCCTCTGGTATTTGTAAGCACCACACCTTCACAGGGAACATTTTTGACTTACTTCTGCTCTTTACAGGTGATTTCACATTCCATACACTTCAGCAGATCAAGCTAGACTCACGCAGAGAGACCAGCAAATCTGAGCTGTCGCGGAACTTAAAGAGGACTGCTCAAGAGAAAGGCTTTGTGATTTCTGACAATCAAGGAGAGGGCAACTGCATGTTTTTTGCCCTTTCAGAACAGCTTGATGTCGTAAAAGGAATGAGGATATCTCATGAAGAGATACGGCAAACCGTGGTTCATTATCTTATGGACCACCCTACGCTGGTAAGTCGTAGCACTAACTTAGCTTTCTTAACGGTATTTTACAACTTACATGAACACGATGACATTGTGAGCCGATGTTGTGACTATTTTAGCTGCCCCCTCCCCCTTACAACATTGATATGAGATACAGTGATCAAAATAAAGTGTTTAAGTTTTGTCACAACATCGTCAGCAACACTTCTTTTGTTCTGGAGAAGTATACGCTTTTCTCTTACAGCAAATATTGTACTCGTGCATCCTTAGTGAGACTTTTTTGTTTGTTTGATCCGCATAGTTACTAATGAAAATTTTGTGGCTTTTAGAACGATAGTAATGAGCTGTATGACACAAGAGTAGAACAAAGAAACAATTTGACCCAGACAGGATTCGAACGCGTGTTCCACAATATTGAATGATTTCTCATGCATCCTGTTTTATGAGAATGGAAAATGAATCTTCTCTCAGCGTCAGCAATTTTCCACCAATTTGGACAGTTATTTGTAAAAATAAGTATTTAAATGTTCTAGTTTGGAATTGGTCTTGCCGTTCATCTGAGTACAGCGGAATTCAATTCCAGATTGGGCTTCCATGCTTCATGAACTCCAGTAGAGGTCATAGACTATATTGCAAAATGGTGGCAAATTAAGTCATTTCTTGTCTACATGATATTTACCCCTCAATGCCTCGTTTCAAGGTGCAATTTGGCGAAAATCGATCCAATTAACATAAAAAGTAAACAATTATATAGCCCGCATTTTAGAATAAATTATATGTATAGTTTGGTGAAGAACACAAAATATTCTTTCCGGAAACAAAATAGAAATAGACTCAGAGTCCACGTTTTACTGACATCATGTTCCCCAGGACGAAATCGTGAAAAACATGGAGACTCAAGGGAGATCAAAACTAAGACCTCGTTTACACAGGTGGGACGAATTCTTCTACAGATTGCAGTACTTTTTGCACGAGTCCATAGAAATTTTTGCACAGTTTTAGCATTAGAATGGCTTTTTGAATGAGTCCTCAGGGTTGCATTGAACCAATCATGTTACACACCAGATTGCGATAATAGTGAGTTTACGCGACACGACGGCAGAAAGAGGAGGACGGCAAAATGCGTTTGTGTGACAAACGTGACAGGACTATTACTTGTGTGTGTTGTCGTAATCTTCACTAAATTTCAATGTTTTTAGGTCTTTCTCAAAAAGATCTGTTTAAAGGAAGACGGATGAAGTTTGAGGCAGCCTTTTTTCAAACAAAATTATTGTCACGCAAGGTTTGCCGTCTTCCTTGCTCTCCCGTCCTGTTGCGTAAGTTCACTAATACCAAAATAGCTGCAGCAGTAAAAAAAATTAACTTTTACAGAGGAACAGTTGCCACTCCACGTCCTTGTGGGCTATAAACAGAAAATGAAGGCGAAAGCGTTGATTGGGAGACTGTAAAAGCAAAGTGGGATGAGCTCAACAAAAAGTTTATCGAAAAGTACCCCAAAAACTTTCTTTCAGGAAAAGTTTCCTCGGGGAGTCTGTAAACAACAGCAACAACAACATTTCTGACTTATATTGAGCTCTTTCTGTAATCAAAAGCGTAAATCGGCAGGTCGACTTACGTCACACCAAAGGCGCATAACTAGGCTCCAGGCTTTTACCGCGCAAACTGTGCAAAAACTTGCACGGTTAACAAGGGCCCGCGTAAAAGTGGAACCGTTTGGTAATCAGTTTTGACCTTCTTCTGATCAGGTCAAAACTTGCACACTTTGCCGTTCAAAAACGTTCACGGTCCCGCGGTTCCCGCGTAAACGAAAGACGGATCCGTGAAAAGTTTTGTCTTTTCAAACATTAGTCCAGACCCGTGTAAACGGAGCCTAATTGTTGAGGCACCTGAAAAAAAATTGTGCTTTGTTTTAGTGACAAGAACATAAGAAAACAAGCGACCACTTTGACACATTTATCCGTCATGGTAATTGAATTGCATGATAGCGGGGCTCCCGCGCGCGCGAAGCGCGCGTGGGACAGAGCCCCATACCCATGGAATATGGTCAACCTCTTTTCGTTTGGTTGTCACGTGACTGACCGAGCGTACGTACGTACGTACGTACGCGTCTACAGATTGTATGGGTGGGGTAGGGGAGACTATCAAAAGGAAGGGATGGGTGTCTCAGGCGTGTCTTGGCAAGTCCACATCTTTAATATAGGACATTAACAATATGGTCAATTGACAGCTGTCAAAACGGGATAGCCACTGACCAGTATCACATGACCATATTGTGGGCTCATGTGAACTCATCGAGGTGACGTGATTTATTTGGAAGCTGTCCGCTGACCAGTAATTGTTTCATCGCGGGCTCAAGTCTCCATTTCTGGTAGCCCGCGTATTTTTGGCGGGAAATTGCGTTGACGACTGAAAAAGAAATTTTCAGTTTATTGTCTTTTTGAGACACAATATTATTACTCTACACTGTTAAAGTTTTACTAAAGGATAAACGAAACAATTTCTATTGCTATGTCAACAAACAATAGCAGAGAAAATATAATTTGCAGAACACAGGGTTCAGGTGAAGAGCAACGGGAAAGAGAGCGGCAGAGAGCAAGAATTAACTGGGGAAGAATGAGCGAAGAAGATCGCCAAAGAAGGCGCGCTCTGGAAAGAGAAAGGAGACGAAATTATAGCGAAGAACGCCGACAAGCAGAAAGAGTCCGGGCTCGAGAAAACAGACAAAATGTTAACGAAGAACGCCGAGAAGCGGAAAGACTTCGTGCTGTTGAAAACAGACAAAATTGTAGCGAAGAACGCCGAGAAGCGGAAAGACTCCGTGCTGTTGAAAACAGACAAAATTGTAGCGAAGAACGCCGAGAAGCGGAAAGACTCCGTGCTGTTGAAAACAGACAAAATTATAGCCAAGAACGCCGAGAAGCGGAAAGACTCCGTGCTGTGGAAAACAGAGAAAATTGTAGCGAAGAACGCCGAGAAGCGGAAAGACTCCGTGCTGTTGAAAATAGACAAAATTGTAGCCAAGAACGCCGAGAAGCGGAAAGACTCCGTGCTGTTGAAAATAGACAAAATTGTAGCCAAGAACGCCGAGAAGCGGAAAGACTCCGTGCTGTTGAAAACAGACAAAATTGTAGCGAAGAACGCCGAGAAGCGGAAAGACTTCGTGCTGTTGAAAATAGACAAAATTGTAGCGAAGAACGCCGAGAAGCGCAAAGAGTGAGAAATAGACTATACAGGCAAAGACGAAGCAATGAGCAACGCGAAAGAGAGGTACAAAGGCGAAGACAACGGCGACAAAATAACCGGACTGTGTTGGCAGAAGGTGAGTATAAAGATGTTGTTGTTGTCCTTGTTGTTGTTAGTATAACAATGAGCTTATTTAAGCGTTTAACAGTTGAAAAAGCGATTACGAAACCTGTGCAGTTCAAAATGCCAGCCCGTGCCAGGCTTCCTCTTGAGCTTCGAGGGGACGAGGGAGAGAGAAAATACAAAATGGCGCTTGTACTCTTGGATAATATTGTCCAAAACCAACACTGCTTTTACCGATTATACATGTAATTCCTGAGTTAATTTCTGCAATACAACTGTGAAATCGCACGTGAGTAAGCCGATAAACTTGTGTAAATTGTTGGTGTTTTTTGTACATTCGAGTGGATTCGCATCCCTTGTCTTTCCCGGCAGGATGGCCATTTGGACTATAGTTTGTTTCATTTCACTTTTATGAAGCCAATTTTTAGGGGACTAATAAGTTGTCAGTTAAAATTGGATGCTTTTTTTCTTGCAATGTGACTGTTGGTAAATGTTTTTGCAGTTCAGTGTGTCCAAGGAGCGCCCGTTGAAAGAGGCTCAGCGCAGTTTGGATTTGATGGTGCAGGTGAGCTTAAGTTTAATTAAGAATTGTTTGATCGGTCTGAAAAGTAGACAGAGTGTAGTGTTAGCTTAGTTCCCGATCTTGCAAGTGAATTTTAAATTTGCTCTTTACCTGGAGTAGACGGCTCTAAGATTTTTATAACTTTCAAGGATACCCTTTTTGAATGTGGATAATATATGATGTTGTATTAGTACAGCACATTGCTTGACCCTATCCTTGTGAAGCTCGATATAGTGTGAAAAAAATTACTTTCACTCGGATTAAGTAGTTTCGAGATAGGATTATATAACAAGCAGAGCATATCAGAGACAGTCAGTAATCGGGACATCAACTTTTATTTTTCCCTATTGTGGAAGTTGTTATTGTAAAATACCGGTAAAGTAGTAAACATGCGCACTATTATGCAAATTCAATTGTGATTGCCAGTGGGATAGTTGGGATGCCATATTGACACCAGTAAATAAAAAAGTATATAATTAATTAGCTAATGATAGTGTGATAACAGAAGAAAGTATTACATGTAATTATTCATCTACATGTTGTGTATCGTTTTAGACAAGTTGTGGAAACTAAAGGTGAAGATCATGCCATATTCCCCTTTTAGAAAAAAAATTTGCTAGATATTAAAGCAACAGAAGAACTTGTTACTAAAGTCCTCCAATTTGCTCATGAGATGGAATGCTCTCTGCAAGTTGAACAGCGGCAGAACAATTCACATGCAGATTAGGGAATGTAATCTTCCTGTTTTACAGTTATGTCTTCCTGTTTTCTTTAGCCTGAGATCATCTCTTCTGCTTATTATCTCTATATGTCCCCTCTCCCCCCAAAAAAGGAATGTCTACTTGGAGGTTATGTTTCCTTCTGCTTCTTATTAACATGTTTATGGATGTTTCAATTACTTTCATTGATTGAGATGAATAGAAAGTTTTTATTATGTTATATTATAACATAACAAAAGTAAAGCATGCGCTCTGATTGGTGAATTACCCATTTACTATTTGCCTATAAGTGAATGGTGATGAAAGTTAGCATGCGCTCAAAGCCGTACCTGTCACTTTCTATCCCACTCTATTTTTTCCGTCATACAACGTCATTAATTTAGGTAGGTATTAAATGTTCTTTTCTTTCTTTGCAGGATGTTATTCCCAAGTTGAAAGTCAATGTGTACATTATGCTGCTGGTGTAAATGATGTTGAAAGTGTGAACCCTGTAGGTCCCATTCCAACAGTGGAAAATACAGGTACATATGTAAACATGTTATTTAATGTTATTGCAACCAGTACCATGCTCAAGGTCATGGTATGAATAATAATTTAGATCAAAACAACAAAGTTTTTTCTCTACAGATTTTAAAAAAGAGCCTAATACATCACAAATTTTGTTAAAATTGTGATTAATTGGTAACGGAACTTCATGTCGTCCAATTTGGACTGTAATCCCTCTTGCGACTAAACAAATTGGACTCCTGCTACTCAGTCGTCCAATTTTGTCACTCACTCGTATGATTACAGACTTTATTACATCCACTTTGAAATCACTGGCTATCCGTGCAATCTGATTGGCTGTCAGCGGTGTGATTTATTCCTAAATCGCACCATTTTTTTGCTCTAAATCGCATCTGTTCCAAATCGCGTCATTTATGTTCTAAATCGCATCATTTATGTTTTAAATAGCACCATTTTTGTTCTATATCGCATCATTTCTGTTTGGAATACAAAAGGAGATGTAAAAGCCTTTTTGTTTCGGCTTTTTAACAAACCGGCCACTTGATCAACAAAATATTAGTACTGACTAAATTCTGCTATTTCAGAATGGAAGTAATAAAGTGGTAATTGAACTTCGTGTCGTGCAATTTTGGTCTGAAATCATACTTGTGATTTCAAATGGAACTCGCGCTGCGCGCTTGTTCGATTTTGAAATCACGCGTATGATTTCAGACCAAATTGCACTCCACTCAGTTCAATTACCATTATGAATTGGACTCCACTCAGTCCTGTTACCATCACTAATTCATTAAATGGAGTAGTGACTATTATTTACGGAAATACATTACTGTCGTGTAATGTTGCTTGATTACAAGCAAATTATTACTGATTTGATTGTTGTTTGACTGTTCCAAAAGTTACCTGGGGCTATTTTTGGTCAAGATACTAAATTCATAGAAGATTATTAAAAGCAAAACAGTTTTTGTTCTTATATGTGGCTCAGTTTCATAACAATTTCGTCTTATGCTTTCACTTGTTTAAAAGGGCCTGATATATACAAACTGTGAAAGTGTGTGAGTAGACTTTATTACTTTACTAGGACAAGATTTTGAAACAGAGAATCCTGTATTAGAAAACTGTCTGATTTTCGAAACAAGTGACTCACTGGAAGCACAGCAACCTGTTCCAGAAACAAACAACAACAGTAGCCACTTGGAAGATAGCCAACTAATTGCTAGAGCAAGGGCAGTTGGTGTCATCTATGAGTTTGCACAGCCTGGTTTAGTGGAAACACAGGATGACAGAAGAAAACGACATCGGCGAAATCAAAGGAGAATAACAAATGAAGAAAAAAGGTTGCGTGAAGTTGTTGGAGATCTACCACCACCTCCACCAGCAGGGTCAAGTGACCTAGAGGATAATGCATACTGTGCTATACGAGCATTTGAGGTGGAGCAGATGACATACAAGTTCAGTTGTTGTGAAGTTTGCAAGGAACGAAGATTGGAATGCCAGGGCAGTGGGAACATGTGCTCTCGCTACAGGCGAGATAAGAAGGTACCAAAGGTTTGGTCATATGAGAACAACATGGACCCAATGTGTGTTCCTGAGGAGCTGTCTGGAATGTCAGATGCTGAGCAGATGCTGATAGCAAGACTGGCGCCAACTGTGCATGTACATATGTTGAAGCATGGAGGTATTGCTTCAAAGGGACATTGTATTGCTTTCCCTCAGGCTGTGCAGGAACCAGCAACTATTCTCCCACGTCTACCAGCAGAGGTGGATATCATACGTGTGAGAAGACAAGGAAGAGATGATACCCATAAAGACTTCAGGGTCAGAAGGTACCGTGTTCAACAAGCTCTTTGTTGGCTGAAGGACAATAATCCTGCTTATAGTGACATTGTTATTGATGTTGCCCGCATACACAATCTACCAGAAGATGGTCAGTTGCCAAATTTAAGAACCATTGAGTTTTCTGAAACAGAGCGTGTGGATGACCAAGGTCCTGCTCCGCAGCAATTGGATGCTGGTGAAACTGATGGTAATGATGACTCAACAGTTTCTGGGATTATTCTTCCTGAGCCAGGAGTTAATGTACAAGAACAAGTTGAAGCAGCCATAAATGAAGTTGTGACTGAACCTCAAGAAGCTGAAACAGAAGAGTCACAACGACGACCAGTGATCCCTTGGCCAAGCACTGACACAACACCAGCATCTGAGTTTACCACTCCCTTTTTTTTCACAATGGCGTTTCCTTGTTTGTTCCCTTATGGAAAGGGTGACTTCCACATAAACCGTCCAGTAACATGTCCTGCACTCCATGACTGGGCAGAGCACTTGCTGTGGTATCAAGATGGGAGGTTTGCTCAGCATAAAGTGTGGAAGTTTGTTGCTCACAACATGATCATGAGGAAGCGTGCCCTGGAACAGAGCAGGTTCTTTGTTGATCAGCAACTGGGAGACCCACAAATAACTGTTGGAGACCTGCAAGAGCGACTAGCGAGGGGTGATACTTCATTCACCAACAAGCTGTTGTATTTTGGTGCAAATCTGCGCGGTACAGCTCAGTACTGGCATCAGAGACGCAGAGAGCTTCGTGCCCTGGTCGAGTTCATGGTAAATGAGAAACGAGGATTGCCTTCGTTTTTCATGACTGGAAGTTGCGCAGAGTTTTACTTTCCCCCACTAAGGAGACTACTGGAACAGTACATCCTCCAGACGACTGGTGAAGAAGTCAACCTTGCTGAAGATAGCAATGCCCGCTTCAAGGCTGTTCAAGAGAATACCCATGTAGTGGTGAAGTACTTTGACCTACGTACCCAGTCATACCATGAAAAGGTACTGAAGCCAGTGTTTGGTGTCTCCGATTATTGGTACCGCTATGAATTTGCAAAGTCTCGGGGTCAGATTCATTGGCACCAACTCAGCTGGAGAGATGACAGGCAGCCACACCAGCTGTTACATGAAGCTCGTGAACATGGTTGTGATGATGAGGAGTATGCAGCTAGACTAAGCCAGTGGGCTGATGAAAACTTTGCAATGACAGCATTACACCCAGCTGGCAGTGATGAAGAAGGACAACCCAGAAAAGACCTCTGGCCTCCACCTGAGGGTTCGGCTGACCCGATATCAGAGGATAGGGATCCCCTGGTTAAAATGCTTATGGAAATGGCCGCAACACAAGATGCAATACTGGAAGATCATTTGCTTCTAGTGAACCGGGTTGGGCTGCACAGTTGTTCTGATTACTGCTTGAGGACTCCTCGTCATCCTGAGCCAGGATTGCAGCCAAGAGAACGGGTATGTCGCATGGAGTTTGGAAGTGAGTTTCATCCAGGGAAGAAACTGAGAAATAGTCCTGAAATTGTGGAAGATCATAATGGAGCTCCCCGCCTTGAGATGCCGCGTGACCACCCACGATTGGTTCAGCATTCTCGCTATCAATTGCAATCTTGGAGAGCAAATGAGGACGTAAGCTTGATTCTTTCCAATTCTCCCCCAGACAATCCTAGCACCGATGATATCATAGCTATAATTGACTATGTATGTGGCTATGCATGCAAGGATAGTGAACCCACTGGAGCAACTGCTGATCTCTTCAAGGACATGGTGAATGCCGTTGATGCGACAGATGCAGACCAAGTAACCGGCAAATCAATGTGTGCCAAGATGCTTATAAAGACTGTGGGAAGACGAGATATCAGTGGGCCTGAGGCATCATTTGAGCTAAGTGGACTAGCACTTTGGCGATGTAGCCGTTCGTTTACATATTTGTCAATGTCAGGGTCGAGACGACTTGAACGGGATGGTGACACGGCAACACGCAGTACCCCTTTGGATAAGTACCTTGCACGACCACGGGAGGAGCATTGCTCTTGGTACCATTTTGCATGCAAGGATGGTAAAGTTCCTGTGGTGAGTGGTGGTGCTACTCACGCCACATGGCCGTTGAATGAGGACTACTGTAGAACAATGCTTCTATTACACTGGCCAAACTGGTTTGACATCCAAGAAGTAAAGGGAGATGCTGAATGTTGGATTGATAGGTTTAAGGACTTTCTTCGTACCAGTGAGTGCCCAAAATTTGTGAAGGCCCAAGTATCCAAGGCACAGCGTTATGCAGAGCATCCACAGGAAGCGGTATTTGAAGAGGATGAGGATGATGATGCTGTAGAAGCAGATTGAAGAACAACCAGATTGGGTGGATGTCTATGCAGGCCAGAACCAGAGATATGAGGGTGTAGAGAAGGACTTTGATTATGATGATGGTGGAGATGAATATGACTGGAACAGTACGTGCATAATTCTTCCTGAGGGTAGAGACCCCAAGAAGTGGCTTCAAGAAAGGATAAGGGAAGATGAAGAACAGGAAGCAGAACCTGAAGACCTCGAATTACCACAGGTGTCTCTGTTGTCTCTAAATGAGAATCAGAGAGCCATAGTGAGTCTGGTGTTACACACTCTTTACAACTTTCTCGAAAACCGTGAAGATTACCATCCTTTACGACTCGTGGTCTCTGGAACTGCAGGAACTGGGAAGTCATATGTTATCAAGTGCCTCCAGAGATTAGTGCGGCAAGTTGTTGGAGTCAATGATGCCATACAGGTCATAACCCCAACAGGGAATGCTGCCTATCTTGTTCAAGGCAGGACAGCTCACAGCTTTTTAGGAATTCCAACTGGTGGAAGGTCCTGCAATGAGTTGACTGTGCCTTCAGGTCCTGTGCTAGAGAGAATTCAGAAAAAGTGTGAAAATCTGAAAGTTCTGGTTGGGGACGAGAGATCAATGTTTGGCCGTACCACAATGGGCTGGATGGAACAGCATGCACGGTATGCAGTCAACAGGGGAGCAACTGCACATGAGCTTTGGGGAGGCATGCCTGCAGTGGTGTTTATGGGAGATGATGTACAGCTACCTCCTGTATGTGACACTCCTGTGTACATTCCAGATTCTCGCAGCGCGCCATCTAACCATGGTCGCTTGGTATGGATTATGTTCGACACTGCAGTCGAGCTTACTGAGATTGTGAGGCAAAGCGAATCTGAACAACAGCTGAGAGATGTGTTGACGTCATTGAGAACTTATAATACAACACAGCAGCAAATCCATTGGTTACAGCAGTTTCAGTGGCACAATCTTCGCTTAAGCCATGGTCCAGAACTTCTCGCAAGGATGGATGAGCAAGGGCTGTATGTGTTTCCTACACATTACCTGGAATGGGAGCGTAATAAAACTAAACTACTTGAATCTAACAGAAAGCCAAATCACCCAGTAGCAAGGATCAAAGCAGTTGAGGAAGGTAGGCATGCCAAGAAGGTCGACAGTAATAAGGCAGGAGGATTGCTACCACTACTGTATCTTTGTCGCGAGAGTAAAGTTATGCTGGTAGTAAACTTGAAGGCCGAATGGGGTTTGTTCAATGGAGCAGTCGGCACAGTTGTGGACATTCTGTACAAAGATGGTTGCAGACCCACTGATGATCCTGCACCGTTACCTGATGTCGTTTTTGTACGTTTCCCAGGTTATAAAGGTCCCCCTTATACAACTGAAGATCCAACTCTTGTTCCAATTGTGCCTGTAAGTCGGTCCACTGAGTGTATATGTCGATGCAAGCGTGTCCAAATTCCTTTGAGATTGGCATGGGGAACAACTATCCACAAGTGCCAAGGGATGACTGTGGGTGTTGGGGAAGCATTCAGGTATGTTGTGATCCATCCTGGAAAGCATGACTTTGAAGCTAAGAATCCAGGAGCTCTATTTGTGGCATTGTCAAGAGCAAAATCAGCAGGTGGGGAAGGAAGAGACCCTGATTTTGCATTTCATGAAGCTGTCCTCATAAATGAAGACAGATTCAGCCCTGTTAACACTCCAACTACCCGGGCTAGAGCAGTGGAGATGGAAAGACTTCATGTATTGGCGACTGAATGTCAGCAGAGAGATGCTTTAGCACCAGCATTTCAAGAGCAAACGTTTCTAAGGCTGATGGAGTGGGCTCAGTCTCGAATTCACCACTGAGAGATCTTAAACTCATTTGATTGCCTTGATGACTGTATGTGCATGTCATTTGTAGTTAAGTTGTTGATTTATTCTACATGTATTGCAACAGTCAGGGAGAGGTCAAGTATGATTTCTCATTTGTGACTTTATTACTGAAATAAGTTTAATTCATGTGCCAAAAAAACAGAGCAGGTGATTATGCATAGGAAATTAAAGGGCATAATATGCTGTAATGATGAACCTTGATTATCCAGACGTGCAAACAAGTTGATTTTGCAGAAAAGTAATTTGAGTCCACAAGCTTCTTTATGGAAAATTATCCAACAACAGGCAAGGTAAAGCAAGTGTATCCATAATGTGTGACAGTTATTATACATCAACACATGTAGGCACTTTTTGCTTTTCAATAAGACAAAAACGATGTGATGATCAGTTTTAAATTTTATCAAAAAATGAGCGACTATGGTTAAAGCTCATGCCGATATAGCGTATATAATTTCTTAAGGTCTGGATGATTGAGGTTCTCCTGTAAGCAGCTTTAAGCACAGGTGGTCATGCATACGAATGCAATGCAACGGCATTGTTTAAAGAAACTGCTACATTGTAGCTGTAGGAACATCCTTGAGCACCCCTGAGAAAGTGGGTTTAATGTTCAATCTTATTCCAACTTTGTCACAACTTGACATTTAGCAGATGACAGAAAGCTTAGTGGCCAATGCCAGCTTTGTTTTAACTTAACATGGACCAGATGGTTCAAAGGTAAGTGTCCACAATGCCAGCTCTGTTGAGCAGATGGCTGAATGCATGGTGGCAGATGCCAGCTCGCCTTGTTGTGGCTTTGGAGCAGATGGCAGCCTCCACAAAATTGCTAGCAGATGCCAGTGCCCTATGTATGTGTGCACGATGACAGCCAGCAATAAAGGCTCTGGATGCTGGGTAGTTTATGCCATAAAAGACAGAAAAAAGTAATTATAGCATTATCTCATTTTAAACTGTTTGCTCAAAAGAATCTTAAAAATTATTGCACATTTGTTGTCATTTCATTTTAAAGTTGGTGTAAGTTATTTAACAAATTCAAATTTGATATAAGTTGCTTCTGTCAAGTTTATTATTAAAAAATGTTATGGACTGTGAATAAGTTTTAATAATATTGTGCAAGTATATTTTGTGTAATTTATCAAATAACTGGAAACTTTTTTAATCACTTATTTTAACCAGACTTTCTTGATACATGAAGTTAAGGACTTTTTTCTTGCTTTTATGTCATTATGGCCAAAATATACCGGACAGCATGAGCCTCAGGGGCCAGCCATTTGACTATTGAGGGGGGAGGTGTTTTGCGACAAGAACAAAAAAAATATTGCAGACAGAATTAGAGTGAAAAAAAATCCATTTAAAAAAGCTTACATGAACATCAAAAAATAGGGACAAAATTTGTGTTCATGCCAGTATAATAGATGATGGAAAATTTTTTTTAGCTTGTACGAAATGAGCTTCCCCCCGCCTGCCCCTTTGAAAGGCAAATGGTTGAGCTCTTAATAGATCATAATCAGAGGGTGGTAAAGGGGGCCAGTCTGTACCTTCAAAAAGAACATAAAAATAATGCCACATTTTATGATGAATCGTAACATCTAAAGAACAAAGTTTGTTCATGTAAATTGGAACATTACGATCTTTTTCGCTGAAAATGATGTGGGAAAATTGAAAATAGTTCATGGGAGTACTAAGGAAATGAAAATTCATATAGGACTAATCCTGTTTGGGCACTCGTTATGTCTAAGGGCACTACCCTTCACCACCCTCAAAAGACAACAATGGTTCATTCGAAGCAAAGTAATTTTTAACTCACAATCAACCTATGTATTATTTCTCAAATAATCGGAACAAAAGTGGCCCTGCATTGTAACAAAGATGATTGACAATTTACACCCATGACTTTAAGGTGAGTTGAATTACATCTACTTTATCTTTTACTTAAAATTTACATATTTTCAGTTCTTTTCACACTTTAAGCAGTGTTATAGTTTAATACAACAGTAGCTAATATAAAATTATCTATACAGTGCATAATGTCAAATGGATCCTGTCAAAGACATCCTCTGCATACTTCAATAAACAGAATATCACAAACAAAGAGTAAAACAATTTTTATTGAGTTTTTCATCTGCCACCTATATTTTGACCAAAGCCACCTTCATCGGGGTGAATGGCCTTTACAACCATCACACTACCATAATTTCATATATACTGTACAAAAAAGTTCTGCTCTGTTGATGCTAGTTTAAGATGAAAAACTTATAGGAGAGTTTTTTTGTAATATGCTTTCCGTGTTTCTGGAAACATGAGGGAGATGACAATTTGCATAGTGGGAGAGGTTGCTTTTAAGTAGCAAAGAAATTGTAATATGTAAGACCTTGGTGTGCAATGTCAGACAGCTGGATCATATTTATTTGAACCAGTGATATATCTCACAAATGCAAGGTCTCTTAGACATCCAGCTCACATGTTGCAATTCCCATTATTTTTTTTTCTGTTAACAGCCAAGAAAAGTATAGAGAGTGTAAAGTTGAGAGTGCCACAGAAATATCACATATATCAGATGCTAATTAATGGTACAAGCTGGTTCCAGTTAACTGCTCTACAGTAACGAAACCAGTCCAAAGACTTGAACCACACCTGAAGATGTAAGTATTAGTGACATGTTTTATTTTCTTAATACCTCGCCAAATTGACTTTTGTACTCTCTTGTAACTACACAATGACATTTGCTGTTTTGTAAAAAGTAGGAATTCCTCTGTGTAATAGACATGTGGTTATATTCTTTAATATAAGATTTAGTTCTAAACTAACTCTTGTTCGCAGCACAGCTGTTAGACTCCAGCTTTCATCATCAACAAGGAAAATAAGGGCATTCTCATGTAGATCAATACAAGCTGAGGCAATGTGTTCTTAGGACAAAAGGGGAAGTATTATAGAGGGTATAGTTTTTTCATATTATCTTTCCTTTTTGTTTGTCTCAGGGAATCATCAACAGCAAAGGACTAAATTTTATTGAGCATTTACTGAATGCACAGTGCACACAGAAACACAGCGGACACCTCAGTAGAATCAATTTTTCACCGGAATGAAAAAGACTTTGAGGAATGTTGACAAAGTTAAATTTGTAGAGTAGTACAATCATATGCTATAGTACATGCTTTATTTTAAATACCTCTTATTTAATAGTTATTCTATTTTAATTCTTAATTCAATTTTTACAACCCTGTACAATTGTAATTAATAATTGCACTTTAGAACAGTACAATGTACTCACATCGCAAAGTACAATTGAAGACCAAAGGGATGGTATAGCCTCCATTTCTGTTCAAACCTACTTTCCTCTGATGGACCTTGATGATTTCCTCAATTTTGCAATTTAATTCATAGCATCCCTTTATGGCCTGTTTTGACGAGATATTTGTGGACAGTGTTCTGATTCCGCTCACACCAACATTTGCTAACACATATCTTGAGTACCTCGAAACTGTCTTGCTGTAGCTTTATGCTGGGCATCAGACAACAGATACAGATATATGATCAAGTAAAAAGAGTACATGCAAGTATAAGATTGGTTTTGGTGAACGCCTCACTTCAGAGCTTTAAATAAGGCACGCACATTTCATCTACAAGACAATAGAAAAAGGTTGCTGGGTATTTTTTGAAACTTGCATCAACATGATGGAGGAGAAAAAGAATAAGAGAAGTATTTTTTTAAAGAAAACGACGCTTACTATTTGTTAAGTACTTGGAATTCCAATCCAATGACAACTGTTGTCAAGAGTTCTGTCCTCTACACACTGTTAAACTTTTGTCAGAGCTGAGCTCCTGGTTACAAAGAAAGATGAGAAGGAATACAAGGTGCATCATATGAAGAAGTTAATTGCCACTGGAGATAAGTCTTTGGTCTTTTATTTTGCTGATATAACCCAGCGGGCAAAGAAAATGAAACATTCAACAGTTCCTGGTTGGCCACCACAAGAATAAGAAAAAGGTTAACAAGACAGAGGTATAATGTGACATGAAGAGGAGATACTGTAAACTGAAGATAACATCACAATGGCTAGACCCCTGCATAACAGACTGTCAGAACACTGAAATCGATACTGTCTTGCTATCTGGAAATATCTGGAAGAAACAGACCAAAGAGGGTTTTAATTAATGAAACAACATCATCGTCCGCGACTGATCTTGAGAGCAGGTGGATTTCAGACAGAAAGTGTAAAGAACCATATAGATTATAGAAAGGTTAGCAGATTTGAACAGAAACAGGGGCTAGTACATTCATGTATGATGCACCAATCAGGGTTGTTACAAGTAGTCACATCTGTAGGTGAAAATCACCACCTACTTAATTATTACACTAGTCATCTAATTAACATGACACTGCACTTACTTTAATTAGAAACTGAGTCATATATTTGAAACTTTGTCACAATCTTGTTAACTTTGGCAATGATGTTAGTATTAATATTACAGATAGAAATATTATTAGGAGTGTCCTTCTTTCAACAACATCATCAACATATCTAGGGAGACTTTTCCTTCATCACCTGGGCCCGGTTCCTGCAAAGCGGATTAATATATAGGAAGGTAAATACAATCGTGTACAGTTGAAACTCAACACAACGGCAAGTGGCTGTTGTAGAGAGGTTTAAAAAAGAGTCAATGAATGGATTTTTTGTCCACCGAGACAAAATAAGTAGTCATTGTAGAGAGGTGGTTGTTAGTGGAGGTTCAACTGTATTATTAGATTCTAGATCATGACTGGATGTCAAAGTAAGGCACAACAATATTTTTAATCATTTGGTCAAGATGCATGTTCCTAGACAAGAACACTTTGCTCAAAATTTGGCTAAATAATGGGTTAAACTTAACCATCGTTGGAGGAACTGAGCCCATATGGACCAAAAATTATTTTTGTCTTTAGAAACTTACACTCAATCCATTAAAAGTGTTGATTGATAAAAGTAGAGATATTATAAATTTCACTTTTCCTCTCAAAAAGGTTATTTTCCTCTCCATGACAGGCTGCTTTAATTGAAAATCTATTACTTCTCCCCCTCCCCAATGGTTGTGTATAATTATGGACCATGTACAGGCCTATGTATGCTGATGTCACAAACCAAAACTTCTTCATTTTATAGCTTACCAAATTCATTCCCCATGGCTGCCTATTCACTGGCACTGAAGTGAAATTAATAATGTGTCATTTCTTGTAATGGGCTAAATGTAGCCTGCTAATAATTTTGGGGACATGGTTTGCACATTGCAGCTTGTTCATATTTTGTGAAGGACAAAATGGCCTCAGTTAATAATGTATTATTCCTGTTTCAGTCCTTCCAGATGACATTAAGTGCTAGGTATTTTTTGGAGAGGCTTGTTACTGTTCTGTTAACATTGTCTGCATTGAGATGCACAAATAAATAAAAGACATGGTATAACCATTATTAGTAAAATCCAACTAGTGGTCTATCATCAATGCTGCATTCTGATTGGTTGAACTACTACTAGGCTATGTTATAGCCCACTAGTCATAGTGAGTCATAGTCCATTCGGCCTTCAGCCTCATGAGTATTGACTGACAGAGCCCACTGGGGTGTGAGGAATAATTGTTAAATATTGGTTTCTCCTTGATGTGCAAAATAATATACATTGGTTTTTTAATAACAGGGCTGAAAATTATACCACACAATGGCATGAGGTGGAGAGAGCAAGGGCAGCTATTGTAAAAATGTAGCAGAGAAAACTGACGCTTGTTCCCACTCCTCAATATTGAGAATAAGAAAGTAAAAGTTTCCTGCCAGCTAAACACAAAAGGTCAACTACATCTGACTCTGTCTCTTCTTAGATACTTGTCTTAAAGGATCTCTTTCCATCCACAGAGTTATTTTTATTAGAACAGTTCAGTTTTTTCATCTATCAGACATTGAGCACAGTGCCTTCAATGGCAGCGAGTTTAAGCAACAAGAATGCTGACATCCCGGGCATCATGAATAGCAACCGGAAGTTTTATGACTTGCTTGATGGAACTGTTCTGTCTTGCACAATAAATCTAACTGCCTTTGTTTGAACTTACGCCATACAAATTTGCTGAGACAGAGCACTAGAAGAAAGAAAATGTTAACTTCCGGTTGCCATTTTTGACGTCTGGAACATCAATGTGTTTGTTGCTTAAGGTCGCGAATGTTACATAAGTGGTGTCAATATTATTACTTTTCCATTGCATGTCTTCACAAATTCAGTTTAATTTCCTCAAAGTCACAATAAAATTTCTTGACTTTGAAAAATTTTATTTTCCCGCATCATTTTTTTACCTGTGGATGTATTTAGTTAAAATAAGAAAAAGCATTGAGATCTGTGAAAAGAAGGTGTCCCCCCTTAAGCCTGCTCCAGACATTCAGATTTAGATTGAAAAGAGTGCGCAAAAAAAGGGATCCCCATTCTCCCCACTCACTCTATTTTTTACAGCCTCCACTATATAAAAGTCTGGAACAGGCTACAGGTTCTTTTATTAAATTTATGCATTAATTTGAATAACGAATACAGAACATGACGACTTTTAGTTGTCTTGCAACTTGCTCAAGTCCACAAGAAGGACAACTTTGTAAATGAGTATATCAGAAACAACACCCTAATACACTTTGCAATAATTTCTCCTTTATTAATAATAATGATTTTTGACATGAAATCAAATAGAATATAAATTGTTACACAAGCATAAGCAAATACGGGTAACAGCAAAACATCTTACTTCTCTTAGTTTTTTGTTTTTGTTTTTCCATAAAGTCAATTTTTTGCCTGCCTAAAAGAACTGCAGGGTGACAGTATTGCCACCCTTATGGCCTGTATTTTGTTTCCTCCTACCCTCCGTTGCCCTTCTACCCCCTCTTCCCCTCCACTTTCCCCTTTGGGCCCCCTTGGCCCTCTCTGAGGGCCCAGAGGAACAGTCTGCCCTTATGTGACCCCTCCCACCACAGTTGAAACATTTCTCTGCAAAACAAAAAATATATAATACAATTAACAAGGCCCTGAAGAGAACAGCTGCCTCTGATATAATTTTAATCTTTTCAGTCTTGCAGTTTCAAATAATGTGGAGTTATATTAAGTAGAGGAACACTATCAAAGGGATTTCCCTGCATTTTCAAAAATCATCACTACTTCTACAGACTCAAGCATTCCCAAAATAACTGTAGATGTATTTTTAGGGTTTGACTCCGTCCCCCTCCCCCTCCCCCCAACCGCCTCTGTCAGAACTTCCAATGGCTATCCTTGGTAAAGACAATGAACATTACTGTCTGCATCGGATGTTGGATACAGTGACCACTGAATAGCTAGTGTTCTGTACAAAATAATTTCCAGCACTTTCAAGTACTCAAGACACCTTCTTCCAGGACTCAACAATCAGAATTCTGCTTTAATGCCAGTTATGCAAGACTAAAAATCAAGTGGTTTGGACAATCCTACAACAAAATGGGACCTAGAAACAACTTTGTTTGCTGAGTTTATAGATTTCCAGGAAGTGTATTCTATTTTCCAGGACTTTCTACTTGTGGAAAATGCCACCAAAAAATTCCACGACTTTCCAGTGCCACTAATACGAAAGCAACTGATCAAGTCATTTTACAATTAAAGCAGAAAAAGTGGCACCAAAGCCTTTAGGCTTTAATCTTTATCCTCCACAAGCCCAAAAGCAGCTTATGCAATTAACTATGCACTGGCAGATATGTAAGACAGCCAAATGTTACCACCAAGCCTAATATTTGAAGAGAATATATAGCTGACCAAAGATTCCAATTTATTATATGACTTTAATGTCAGGAAACAAGTTTGTTCACGAGTGATTGGGACTTCGGGGACACAAAAATAGTCGAATGAACACTCATAAGAAAACCATAGTAAACATAGTAAGCTGACTTTCTATAACCTTCATTTCTTGGAATGGAAACAGATTAATAAAATCATTTAAAATAAAATTTATGACGAAAACGTACTGTTTTTAAAACGACTCCACTTCTCCTTCTTATTGTCATCTGCAATTTAAAAATGGCAGCATCAATTTTGAGTTACTGTTTAACCTATGCAAGGCGAACTGAGGGCAGAATTATGGACGACAAAAAAGTAACCTAACCCAATTATTTTTATGATTTTTTTGTACGAGTCTCCGAAACTTATCACATAAAAGCAAACAAAATTATACATTCAGTACTTACCAGGAGGAATTGGACGATCGACTGAAATTAAAGAAATTGCATGTTATTAAACTGACAAAATGAAACTACAATAGCTATCATTTCTGGATAATATTATGAGGATTCAGTAACATTAGACTTATATATAAATTCTCACGCACAACATTTAGGTGCGGTTACTGAAACAGACTTTACACAGTGTTTAACAAAACCGTATTCTAAGGCGTTTTCAATTTAGTAGAAGACCATTTTATTTTATTCATCTGTCAACAAAATATTTGCCGGTTCTGTTGATTTTCTTAAACCGCGTTCTAACTAAGACTATGTAGTAATAAGCGACCCTTAGCATTCAACTTACTAGGAGGTTGTCCATTGTTCCCTGAAAAAAAAAAAGTAAATTAAAACTGAGAAAGTATCATGAGTTGTTCCAAAATCGTGGGGAGCGGCAAACGGAAATTAGTCTGTATGTCAATAGACACCGCATTCTACGCCGTTTTCGATTTTCGCCAACGCTGGATTGTTGTTAACGGTATCAATATTACATAAACTCTTATGCAAAACATTTGCAAACGGTTATCAAAACAGAGTTTAGACAGTGTTTAACAAAACCGTGTTCTAAAGCCTTCTTCAGTCTATTTGGAAGACCATTTCTTTATCCACTTAACTCTTTTCTGACGAAGTCACCCAGCGTGGTGCAAATATCTACCAGAGCCGTTCAACTGGTCAGCGTTAAAATTGTGGGGAGCGGTTGTCTTACATGACGTACTTTCTGAAAAGAACGTGTTCTGTGCATGAAGCTTTTTATTTCATGAAAAATGACAAAATATTGCCAGAAATATTGGGTTTTTTTCTCCTATTCCTTCGAACACACCCCAAACTTTGTAAAGGATTTGTATGGCAGAATTTCAAGGAAAATATGCCAGAAGGTGAGCCCTTGTTTAGTACTCTCTCACTAGCGCTCCGTTCGAGCCATATTTTTACAGATTTTTATGTATCAACAACCTTTGTGGAAACAGAAATCTCTACTTTTTATTTAATTTGAGGACTGATGTTGACAATTTTGTTGAAAACACTGTTTCAAATGGTACGTTTTCCAAGCTACAACCCACTTTGAACGGCAAAGAATGTAGACTTAATCTGTAGCGAGTAGAATTTTAGAAGATCGATATAATTCTACAGTAAATAAGCTTTAAAATGGCCGGGTCTATTACTTGAACAATTTAAGCGTGTAATAAATATTTTATGAATTTTTGACCAGAACTGTTTTCCATGGTTTGATTTATGTCGAATTTTGACCGTCAGAAAAGAGTTACAATGAGCCACCTCTACACACAATATTTGCCGGTTCTGTTGATTTTCTCACTTGGACTATGTTGTAATAAACGACCCTTCGCATTCAACTTACTGGGTGGTTGTCCATTGTTTACTGTAAAAAAAAAAGAAATTGTGCATTAAAACTGAGAAAGTATCATGAGTTGTTCAAACATCGTGAGAAGCGACAGACGCAAATATGTCTGCGTGTCAATAGACACTGCATTCTACACCGTTTTCAATTTTGGCCATTAAGTTTATATATTGTTTGTTGTTCATGGTATCAATATTAAAAAGGTTTTTAACAAAGATATGGTCGTCGCAGTGGTATATGCCATTGCAAATTAGCCTGAAAAAGGGCTTATAACCCAGCCTAGAAGACCACATCTTATCAGGAGGTTGTTTGCATTTAACTTACTCGGAGGTTGGCCATTGTTCCCTGAAAAAAAAAAATCCTTGAATTAAAACTGAGAAAATACAATGAACTGTTCCAACATTGCGGGAAGCGACGTTGTCTGCGTGTCAATAGACACCAGCAGAGAGGGAGGGGAGTTAGCGCATTAAAATTACTCTGTAGACCCCCGTCAATTAACTAGGAGAATACATTCATGTAATGTATTTACAGAGTATAAATGCCACTGTCTGTGCTTATTTAGCAAGGGATATACACTGATTTATGTCGAATTTTGACCGTCAGAAAAGAGTTAAAATAAGCCACCTCTAAACAAAATATTTGCCGGTTCTGTTGATTTTCTCACTTGGACTATGTTGTAATAAACGACCCTTAGCATTCAACTTACTGGGTGGTTGTCCATTGTTTACTGTAAAAAAAAAAAGAAATTGTGCATTAAAACTGAGAAAGTATCATGAGTTGTTCAAACATCGTGAGAAGTGACAGACGGAAATATGTCTGCGTGTCAATAGACACTGCATTCTAAACCGTTTTCAATTTTCACCATTAAGTTTATATATTGTTTGTTGTTCATGGTATCAATATTAAAAAGGTTTTTAACAAAGATATGGTCGTCGCAGTGGTATATGCCATTGCAAATTAGCCTGAAAAAGGGCTTATAACCCAGCCTAGAAGACCACATCTTATCAGGAGGTTGTTTGCATTTAACTTACTCGGAGGTTGGCCATTGTTCCCTGAAAAAAAAAAATCCGTGAATTAAAACTGAGAAAATACGATGACCTGTCCCAACATTGCGGGAAGCGACGTTGTCTGCGTGTCAATAGACACCAGCGGAGAGGGAGGGGAGTTGGTGCATTAAAATTACTCTGTAGACCCCCTCAATTAACTAGGAGAATACATTCATATAATGTATTTACAGAGTATAAATGCCGCTGTCTGTGCTTATTTAGCAAGGGATATACACTAAAGGATTGGTAGGAGAACAGCATGTCCAACTCTTGAGTTCTGGTGTTTTATATTGTACAACAAGTATTGCGTTAACTCAGGCATCAGCTCGGTGAGCCCAAATTTCTCAGTGATAAACCTGATAAACCCGTCAGCATGGTTCATCGTGGATTTAATAGCCTTACAACTAATGGTGCAACATAACACAATAGAGACTAAGAAAAAATAATTATAATCTAATAGTTACACTGGCAAAGGAAAACGTTGTTACGACGTAAATAGCATCAGTGTTGTTTTTTGTTGTTGTTTTCAAATATTAGATTGGTACGGACAGAGGTTATATGCTTCTGGTACCCAACATGGTTTAATTGCTGTATAAGTACTGCTGTAAAATTATACTGCTTGGAGAAATGTTCTTATCTGGAGAAATAGTGTAATAAGCCTACATAAAAAGATTACTGTATGTTTTTGAAAGTAAAAAGTTTTGGTTTCTCACATTTTCGGTAAAGAAACAAACAAACAAACAAACAAACTTCCTGGTAGAAGTAAGGTCATACACCATCGAACAATATTATACAGCTGTATCAAACGATGTAGTTTAATAGTAAATATCCAAAGAATCTTCTTGTTGTCAACCACAATATGTTTATAACCATAATATTATTATATTTACATAAAACACAAAATTTCATAACATGATTCATCTTACTTGGATCTGGATCATCATTAGGATTGTCTGAAAATAAACATGCATATGAATCACCTCTCGCACTGACCAACTGAAACAAGAGAACATCTAAAACATGGCCATTTTCTGTAAGCAAACTCACAAAAAAATAGTTTTATAATTTTCGTTCTCTTTTAACCCAGAGGGGTTCAACTACTTCCAAGTAACATACTTCACACATGGTGTGATCTATTCATCTTCTGTACGTAGTTGTCCTAATATATGCTCACAGCATACAAAGATACATTATACATTACATTATTGCTCTTACAATAAGAAGATTGTTGCTTTTTTGTGTAATAAATTGTAATGAAGATCTCACACAGGCACTCAAAAGTTAAGCAACTGTGATATCACTCAAGTTTAATAAATGGTTAAAGCAAACAGATACTGTGATTTGCTCATCTTGCATGTTGTTACCTTCAGCCGCAGCACCTCCAACAGCATTTTCTGCAACATGATGAAAACACAGTCTTACTTTGAGAGGAAATCTCTTTAACTTAAATCATATTAAACTTAAGTGCTGAATATAGTCTTGCAACAACCCTTAAACATCATTTATAAAAGCCATCATAAGGTACCATACTGTCATATATTAAGAAGTCATGTCAGTTAGATGGAAATGGACCTTGAACATTTGATCAAATTAATGTCTGCTAAATTGGTGAAATGTTAGGTTTTGTAGTTTCCATTACATTTAAGAGAGTGTAATATTTGGATTCATCTCTTGTTTATACAGTGTAGTAAAATGAAACGATCTTGTCTTGAATAGGGTGCAGGAGGATAGCAGCACAGGACTACTACGTTACCAGAACATAAGCTAAAAACTACAAACGACTCCTGGAGTACATCCCCTCAATTTACTTTTGGGTGATGATATGTACCGTTCTGGTTCCTGGAAACCATTAATAGTCTATATCAGGCCTTATCAAGCTGCATTTGAAATCCAAGACTATGCACCATGATTCGCTGTACCATGCGGATAATATACCTTGGAAAATATAAACCTTTGTTATATGATATCGCTTTTGAAAGTCTATAATTTTAAATAAACCGCGGTTAGCGGATGGTTTTCGTGTCAGAGATCACAATGATTTGGACAATTGGAGTACCGGTAGGCAACCACAAGTTGTACGGTCCACAGAAACGTTTTAACTACGTAAAAATCGATTTTACCAACAGCTAAACGTTTACCTCATGAGTAAGTACCTTAATTTATTATACATTCATTATAAGAAGTTTTATCTTAAGTTAACCTTAATGTTTAACTTAAGCGTATAGTTTCAGTTGAGCCTTAAATAGTCGGTAGCTATTACTGGTTTTCACAATTCCTATACAAATTTCTTTGAAGTCCAATGAAACTGTACTTTTACAGGAAACAAAAGTAAAGACGAAGTTTGTATGAAAGATGAGCTCAAGCTTTTATCTCAACTGTTTTATCACCTTCTTGTATGTCCATACTGCAGAACACTGTGCAAAAGGGAACAAACAAGTAAGTCTTGAATTAGTTTTGAAAATATTTCTGCCGCTCGCTTTTTTGCTCATGCTATTTCTGCAGGTTTATCCTGCAAAAACACAGTTGTGCAAAAAAAAAAAGCAACTGATAAAATTATTCATTTACTTCTCACCTTGTCTTGACACGCTAGCTCCGAGAATTGCGAACTAAAATTTCAAGCAGTTTGCCAACTTAAAAACGTCAAAAAACGCGCGAAAAAATAATGCCGGCTGCCAGCAGCTTAGGGACGGACCATTAGAAAAGTTATGGGGGGGGAGGGGAATTTTCGAGCCGCAGGAATTTTTTTTCGTTATCAAATTCCTTGCATGAATTTTTTTTAGGCCATAGCATGAATATTTTTTAATTGGTTAATTGGCTTGTAAGAAATTTTTTTCATTTAATTTTCCCTTGCGCGAATTTTTTTTTTGTACTTCGCCAGCCCCCCCATAAGTTTTCTGATGGTCCGTCCCTTAGTTGGCTTTTGGTGGCACTGCTCCAACTCGATCCCAGGGTTAATCTCGGTAGCCTTCGTCACAAGGTAGTCTCGCCTACGCAGCCATTCGTTTTGTCGTCACGCACGAAACGGAGGCGACGCCATCTCCATTTTAACTATAAGTTTCCGTACATAAGTTTAGTGTTATTTTTTATTGCTTTTACTGAACCGGTGATCTTTTAATAAAGCTTTAGTCCCTTAATTGAAGTAGCACTCCAGAGGATGGGAAGAAGATATACCGTGGGAACAAGGCTCCCATTTTTCTTTCATATCATTGGGACTGACAAGTAAGATAACTACAAAGTCGCATAAAAAACCTGTTAGCTATTGTTTGTACGTATACAACTTTTAGCCCTTGTTGTTGGTCTAATGTGTGTTTTCCTTGAAAGCCGAGAACAAATTTTTTGGCACAGCGGTTATGTTGGCAAGTCGCGTATTCTTAATTCTCCAAAACTGTGCAATGCGGTCTGTAATGGAAACAACTTTTACCTTGGGGAAAAGCTCGGAGGACGTGCTTGAAAATGTCTGTTTTATGGTACTGGGGATTAAAAAACGTAGGGCAAACACAAAAATAGGTCCTACTTTTACTTCTTTTTGGTTTATATACCAGACATTGTATAAGTGCTACAGTCGAAGCGCACTTTTCGGACATTTGCTTAGTTCCGATACCTTCTTCCGGGCACTTCATTTTGAGCCTGGAAGAGGCCCTTATGATTATTTTTTTTTTTTTGGAAATTCCCTTAGTACAGACATCCGTCACTATGGCAACACCTTTTTATAATCTCGCAAAGACAATTATCTTCACCTATACGTTATTTTTGTTCTATCATAAGAATGAGAGTCAGGAAAATAGAGCGTAAAGAACTTCCTGGTAGTTCAGTTCACCTTTTATTACTTTCATATACATGTACCTGGTAACTTGAATATAAGGGTGCTTGCATGCCCGCTCAAACAACATTCAACCCAATGAAAAAAGACCATATCTCCAGGTTTGAAGAGGATGATGATGCTGAAAAAGCAGAGCTGAACAACCATTAACGGCCCTTTTAATAATAAGTGACATTATATTCAATAAAATATTTTTATAAAACTTAGAAGAAGCAGATGACCCTAAAGTGTTTCAGTTCCCTTTATCTGTGTAATAGAACCATGCTAGGTTTTTTTTATCGTTGAGCCAGAAGCAGAGATACCCTGCTAAAAGCCATGCAAGAGAGAAACCTCGGCTCGTAGGGTAAAGCAGAGAAGGTTTTTTGCCCATGATTATGAATTATAGGATTGAAGGAAACCCTGAAGTTCAGTAATAGATTCTTGAGTGCTTAATAATTTTACTGTTTCATTTAATAATTGAAATTGAGTGGCGTGCCTAACTCAATTTAATTATAACATAAAAAAGAAAAACATTTACATTTATTTTGCTTCCATGCAGCTATATACTGGAACCTCGATATCATCAAGCTAAATTAAGTAAAAAATGCTAGGGGAACTTTCTAAATGTGTTTTTATATAGATAGTTATATCTAAGCCCTTTTCCATACATTTTACCATACCTTGGAGTAAACATTTATTTTACCGAGGTGTTCGTTTTATGGCAAGAGTTGTGTCCTGCATTACCCAGTAGCGTGTACAAATCTTTTAAATACATTTACGCAAATAGAATGGTTAATTTCATCAGGGATAGAATACAGTACATTGATAATTTGTGTTTTTTGTAGAATATACTCCATGACTTTGTAGGTAGAAAGACCCTACTAATGGCAGACGAAAGTTTAGACAAAAATCGTAGCGAGCTAACCGACCTCGACACTAAACTATAGTCAAAAACGTTTGTGAATTCCTTCGCAATATTTTAGAATGCTTTTACAGTTTAAAGGGAAATGAAAGTACTAAACGGGAGCCCCGCTTTTAGGCTTGGCTAAATCTATATATTATTACTATAAATGCGACTTTAGAGTGTGTGTTGTAATTCTTTCCCCAATAAAAATCGCATTTTTAATGACACTACATAAAGAAGCAGAGAGTTTAATACGGCTGCGCTTTTTTAATAACTACGCTTTATTTTTTGTCTTGCAGCCAGATGGGACAGAGCTTTTCCAATTTGTTGATGGATATTCATCTTGGGATGCTTACCTCACAAGCATGATGACAGATGGTACATGGGGTGATCACGTGATGCTCCATGGTGCGGCAAACTGCTTTGAAACATGTATTCACGTGATCAGCAGTCTGCCGCATCATAATGAAGTAATGATTTGCCCAGAGTATGATGATACTGGTAACAACCAGCTTGTGCTGGGTCACGTGCATGAGCTTCATTATGTTAGCCTTCGTCCGGTTTAAAGAAACCGTCATTTTTGGATAGACGCTCACACGCTGTTGTCGTAAGAATGATACCTCAGATAGTTGTTATAATCGCATTTATTCACGAGAGATAAATTGCTCCTAGTTCTTAGCTTCACTGTAGTTATTAATAGGGACTTTAAGATCCAACAAAGTTGGATCTTAAAGTCCCTAATGATTTTTATCAGAATTTAGCTCACCTGTTCAACTTCTAAAGTTGAACGCCATATTTTTTCTTTTTTCTTCTGGGTAGTTAATTTGTCGCAAAGTTTATTACTGTAGAAGAAAAGTGATTTTCCAAGCCTGTCTACCATTTTAAGGTGGACGGAACCGATTTATACCTTGATCTCACCCTGCATACAGCATAAAGTTGTTCTTCTTGCAATACAGCTTTGGGTAAGAATACCCGGTGATAGTCCGTCGGCACTCTTCAACTATTTGTGCGTCAACTTTCAGAAATGTGTTAGCGTAGCATTTTAAGGTGTAATTTCATCAGAATTTTGTGCAACGAGTTGTGAATTCACGATTGACTTCAAGCTACTTCAAACTTGCAGATATAAAATTTGAGAGCTCTAAGGCTTATGTTATGAAGTTAGGGAAAGATCTGTCGTAGGATTTCGAAGTTACTTTCATTTTTTGTAAAAACGCGATTTTTAATAAATGCTGACTGGATATCTCACACTCTTTTACACCTACAAGAAAATATAAGCTGTGGTCACACTACAGACTTTTTACCTAGGTAAACAGGACTTGTTGACAGTTTACCTAGGGAAACTTGATTTTTTAAGTGTGACCGATTTTTCCCTAGGTAACTTACCTCGGGGAAATTTTATCGTCTGGGTCTTGGATATGTCTCGAAAACAATAGAGGTTACCTTGACAGCTACCCCAAAGCAATAGCTAGAGAAAAATGAAATACCGAGGTCACTAGCCAATAGACGCTCATCGGCGAAGGTTTTGATGACAGAACCGGACGTAGATCACGCTGTGAAAGAAATTTTGGGGGCACGAGTCGTCTACGTCTTCGCCTTTCTTCACCTTGCACGTTGAATTAGCGTAAGAAATAACAGCGAGATAGAAGAAAAAAACGTCTCTTTGATCAGCTAGATCCCTGCGCATTTTGCCTTCTTGAATTTACGCTCCTAAAAATTCAACAGGCGTGAAAACTTTGGGAGCCGATATCAGTAGTGTGACCTTCCCAGAATTTTTACCGAGGTTAAACAAAACCCGAGATGAATTTACCTCGGGAGATTTTTGATGAATTTGCCCTAGGTAAATCGGTTTTACCTAGGTAAAAGTCTGTAGTGTGACCACAGCTAATAAGGTACCAAAACTCATAGAAATCGATTAAATCTTTCCTGCTGAAAAACGCGATTAAAGAACATAACCATCACGCTTATAAATAGGTTCGCGCTACCTTAATTAACTGATGTGAACACTTTATTTGGTAGCGTTAGCAACATGTCGGCGACGGCAATGAAAACGTCGCTTCAAAAGAGAATTTAAGTCCT